CAGGATCTATCACCTGCCAAAATCCCTCTGAGTGGGAAACACTGAGCTCTCACTGCCGACTTCCATCCATTAATAGAAGTGATTTCTCTGAGCACAGCTGCAATAACGATAACACAATATCCACACCAACCAGTCTAACAAATAAGACCATATATCTGTATGAAGGTTCCTTAGAGCTGCTGCCTGATGCCATTAACTCAATGGTTTTATATATATATATATACGTATATATAAAGAGCAGATAGATTGAAAATGATGCAGCAGTGTTACCACGGCCCTGTTCAGGCCCGTCATTAACATGCGTCTCAGGTGATCTGAGGGAACGGCTCTAAGCACAAGTGTTAATGCACTTAAGACAGAGAGGCATTAAAAATGGCAGGTATGAGCATGTTTACCCACTTATCTCTTCAACACCCATAAGTCTGGTCTTCAATCAGCCTAAAGGGCACGTGTCACTCTGCTGCTCATTGACCTCCGCTACCCATGACCGCTCGAATCATATTCAACTCACTACTGCTGCCTTCAGAGTGACCTCTGGGTCTGCACCCGTCTAGCTGAACTATCATTCAGGCTCATGCTCCTTCTCTGCCACGGCTTTCCTCCGAGGAACGTCGTCTGGCATCCCCGCACACAAGACGACCTCAGTCCAGACTGCTCTGTGGTTCTCCGATGGCGGAACAAGCTACTGAATGTTATCAGAGCAGACTCATCTCCTCTCCTCACACCTCTGACACCCCGACATGTCTAACTAGCACTTACTAAGTCTTTTCCGAGCTCTTCCTTACCTGATCTCCTGGCACCTACTGAACACATGTTAGTAGTTAATGCTTAGACCAAGGTGTCCTGCTGCACTGAAGCTTTGCCTTTCTTGTAAGTCGCGTTGGATAAAAGCGTCTGCCAAATGAGTGAATGTTAGATCCTGGCTCTAATTAAAAAGCTGACCCATCTCCACAGTGGGAAGGAAACTGAGACAATGAAAATATCATTTAGATATTTTTCTGAACTGTAAGCAACTTTACACTGAGCCAAGAAACTGTAGTGTAACTGTGTAGTTACGGTGCCAGTAGCAGTTGATGTCCCTTTGGAAGAGGTGACAGTACCTTGGGATAAACTATGGTGTCCTTATCGTTCTGCCGGATGTTGTCGTCTATGAAGATATGCTGAACGCTCTGGTCGAAGGGGTCGACCCACAACGGCTTCCCCCCATGGATGGAGTAGGTATGACTGACCCACCTGGATGAGAAACAAGGGCACAGTAAGGTTTGGAAAAAGGCTGGATGGAGTATAACCCCGAGGAGTGTTATACACACCAGTCAAAGTGGTCCTGAAAGCCTCCCAGGCCCTGGACTGAGTTGAAGTACTGATACAGGGCTCGCTCTCCATCCTGAGTGGACACACGGGCCTCGGCTCGACTCAAGACGATTCCTCTCTTGCTACAGCGGATCTTGCCTGGAGTCATATTCACGTTCAACTGAGCCGAGAGCAAGAAGAAGAGTCAGAGTCAGAGGGGAAAAATTCTGTTATTAAAACAAATCAAAACAGCATGAAAATGATAAATGAGTCTGGACTTCATCATGTTATGGCAGAGTTTTAAAAGTCTTTTACACTTTGAGAACAACTAGTAAAAGCTTCGCATCACCTGAAATCAAATATTTTAAAACTTAAAAATGCCACATTAGCAGTTTGGTTCTCAGGATGGCAGTATCAGTCAGCATCTGGTTTGTGGTAGTTTCATTGAAATTTTATGCAGCACTAAATCTCAACACTAACGGACCTGATTTAATCTGTATCCCGTTCATCACCTAACGTTGAGGCCTTGTCTTGAAGAGAATTAACGTGTTTAATGTACGCAGGCGAATCTGGTGCCGGGTGGTTCCAGCACAGCACAGGATTTAATACAGTTGTCATGCATAAAGCAGGAAACACCATCTTAAAAAGATTAAACCACCACATTGTGCATCTGCATGAAATCTAAAATGGCAATATTAAGTGAAACATCTTCTTCAGGTGATGGATTATTGGTGGTGTAGTAACGATTGGCAGCACCAGAGAGCGTTTACAGTGCAGCAACTGTAGCACATGCACACTCCCACGCTACAGAGATACTAGGACATTAGCATGGAGTCAGTGAATAGTAAAATGGTCTCGTAAATTGCCCAAAGCTGTAGTGCACCGCTTTGATTAGGCATGTTTTTCCCCGCTGCACCATCATAACAATGATAAAGAAGCTGCTGTCCTGCAGTTGCACCCAGGAAAACTGAACTACCACATCATGTGTTGTGATTGATTCCCCCCCTGCTCCTTCTGTCTAAACGCACAGATGAATATGCAGGAAATTGAATAAGATCTCTACTGCGCTCTGCTCCAGTTAGCTCGCTGTGGCTGACAGACTCATTTTCTGACATCCTCTCTATCTCTCCCCTCTTCATCGGTCCATTGCACTCTTCACTATTCTCTCAAAATCAATGTGTTCCACTCCAGCGGATTAACAGGTACAAAAACCATAAACCCCCTCTGGCCACTTAGTCAAGGAGATGCAGATGCCTGTGTGTGTCTGTGTGTGTGTGTGTGTGTGTGTGTGTGTGTGTGGATGGGGAGGTCTATGCACGAGGGAATAGAAGGTCGTGCTCTTCAAAAGAACATCTCCGCATTCACCCTCCCCAAAGACACACACACACACACACACACACACACTGATGGATTGGATCTGTGGTCCTCTGTCTTATCATTCAGGACCATTATCAGATCAAATGTTTAATGTGTCAGACACTTTGGTTTATGACCAAATCCCTGTAAGACTTCTCATCAGCCGCAGCTGCACTTTGGGGTTTCATGCTGATTAGCAGAGTTTCGTAAGCTAACACGCTACACTGAGATGGTGAACATGGTAAACATGGCACTTGCTTAATATCTGCATATTACCATAGTCATCGTGAGCATGTTCGCCACACAGAGCCGCGAGCTCGGCTGTAGACTCGTAGTCACACAGGAGTGGTGGCAAAAATGATCTGTGGCAGAGATCTGAAAAACACCCCCAAGCTTCTCAGACTTATTACCAGCCGCAAGAGCGTCGGCTGGAATTGTTTTTACTTTGTGAGTGTGTGTGTGTGTGTGTGAGTGAGAGTGAGAGTGTGTGTGTGAGAGTGCGATCATGGTATGACAATGTCTCTACCACAGACGGAGGTGGTCTTGTGGCTTTGGCTTGTGTTTGTCTGTGGAACACAATAGCGTCACAACTGTCCTAGATGCAGTCACGAAGCTGCAAGGTTTTGTAGCTGATGTCAAACCGCTGCTGATGAGGAGCGTGGGCCCTGAAAAGCCCACTGAGACAGGATATGCAACACTAGACACGACATTACCCCGTCAATAACATCTGTCTGTTTTTAAAAAGAACTTAAAGCAGCAGTTGCTACCAAAACATGTTTAAACTCGTATACCCTGAAAGGCTGGGGTCTTCACAGCTGGTTACTCTACTGTGCTATTATTTTCATTTACCATTTATTTTCTCATTGTGCATCTTGCCAACTGGATGAATGTTTGGGCTGATGATAGCTGCTCTGGGATCATTTAGTTGTTGTTTTTATGGTTATTGTGATTAGGTATTAGATATAAGGATATGGGTATTTTGTGGCTGTAATTATTTGTACATGCAGCGACCGAGCCCCTATTCACAAACCTCTGTCCCATTTTCACCCACTGCTATTATCGTGTTTTATATGCTTTAACTTGTATTCTATTCAGAGTTGTGTGAAATATATAAATGAAATGGAATTATCTGCCCAGCCCCACTGAGGGAAAAATATTGAATTTGGGCAAATTGTCCCTCTTGGCTTTGTAATGAATATATGCGACTTTTCACTTCACCTTCAGATCAGGCAGATCGGGGAACAGTGGATGAACCCCTTCGTTCAGCGCTTTGTCCACAGCTCTCAGTACACGAGGTAGGTCAGTTCCAAACGTTCGAAACAGGATGGCGAACTCCCGTCCCTCCTGCACCAGGTCTCTGAGCAGCTGGAAGAAGGAGGGGAGGATCCAGTGGTACAGCCGTCCGTCCTCTCCTTTTATAGACAGCTCTTTGTCTCCCTGCAGGAACCAGTCAGGGAGCAGTCAGTAACACACAGCTGGTTTGCAGGAAGTGAAGAAGACTGGTTTGTGGCTGAATCTAACTATGAAAGCAGAACTTTACCATTAAAGCAGTCTACTAGCTGCACACACAGAAACCAACTTATTTTTAGGCTCAGTTCCTCAGACAATCGCACTGGTTTGTTTTTTAAGTGCATAATGCAGAAGTTTTGAGTGGCCACACAGAACGTCCCAGTCCGATGCAGCCTGACAATGTAATGGTTGGATAATGTGCCATTTAATACCTCTAATATAGAAATAGGAAATTATTAAATTCAACATAGGAAGCTACAAGAAACTGTTCGAAATCATACATTATCTATTATTACGTGAATGTAGAATCCAGTGTTTTTGAAGCTTGACTAAAATTCTCGGCCTCTGCTGCTTCAGTTTCTGTTAATTGCAAATCTCCCGAATTGATGGGAGGCCAATATTAAATTACTGGAAAGTCCCTTTAACAGGTTGTGACAACTGTAAAAGCTACAGAGTTCCTACGCTATGAAATCTGAGCTCTAAAGTGTCAGTGTATAATCTTTCTACAGCACACACAGGCTAGTTGTAGTTTAAGGGTGAGCAACATCACAATTCCCAGGGTGACTACAAGATTAAAATAAAAGGCTTGGATCAGAGGGTCTGCAACCTTTGTAACCACAGTCTGGGCAGCGAGTATCACATTTGGTTTGAATGTAAAAACATGAGTAATATGGAAAAAAAAACTAGTCAAGTACTGTTTAAACAGTTCATCCATGTTTAAATGAATTTTGTTATTACTGCCACATAAGTTAAATGTTATACTGTGTAGAAATTGGTGCCTTCTTTAACGCTTTTCTGGCATTTTCCACTTTTATTTTGACAGTGAGACAGACAGGAAAGGCAGGGGAGACAGGTGGGGTGACATGCCTCAAAGGCTGAATTCAAACCCAGGCTGCTGACTCAGCCTTATGCTTAACCAGGTGAGCCACCAGTGCAGGTGCCACGGTCTTGTCACTATCGTATTGTGTATTTGTGTATTAAATTTAAATCTGAATATGAAACTAAAAAGTAGTCTTTTAGTCATTTTTGGGTCAAGATCTGTCTCTCAGATCAGGTACTTGCCTTGACGCCCTCGGGCCAGCGGAGCAGATTCAGGTGTTCATCCAGAACCCCGCGGAAACGTCGTCCCGCAGCAGACGTGAAACTATACGTCCTTCCAAACTGAGAGTAGTAACTAACAGCGTCCGGACACGGCGGGAGCAGGGAGGGCGAGTCACTCAGCCATTCCCATTTTCCTGCACAGAGGTGAAGAGATGAACAATTACAGACAGATTTATGTGCTGATCACAGACAGAGTGAATCCTTAAGTTCATTTAAAAAAAAAAAAAAACTAAAAACACAAAAACAAAATCACAATCACGTAAAAGGAATTTGCAGTACGTGCTTTTTACTGGACAAGGTCCTTCTGAACTAAATACATAATCATGTTTGAGGGAAGAAACATTCCTCTGTATCACATTCTACCAAACTTAATTTGATAAAAAGGCTAATTTAATATTTATTTTCATATTTGTATAATAAAACAAATCATAAATTATGACTTTATACATATAACTATATTTTAAATGACCTGCTATTCGGGATCTTCGAAATTTAAATGACGCGTTTAATTTCAATAACGTATGAACTTTTTCGGGTCGCGTGACAGCTTTGTGATCACCTGCATGCTCGGGAGAAGTGAAGCAGGATTCAGAGACTTTTAAACGGACTTCGGCGTGTTCTCTTAACAGCACAGGAACAATACCTTCACTGTTGTCACCTGACCTGAGCACGCACACAAATTCCTATCATACCTGTGTGACACCGACTCGGTCGGTTTCCAGCTCACCGTGTTTGCTCATCTTCCCCCAGGTAACGGTTGAGAGGAAATAGTCCAGCGCAGATACGGTCCCCTCGCCCGTGACGGCGTCCGACACCAGGATGGTGTTGTTCAGGTCGACATGCAGAACTAACTTTCTCTTCTGGTCCTGATTTGAGGACCAGATCTCCCGAGGGACCGTCACCCCGGGCTCATCATCTGCCCCGCATAGAGGCTCCGGGACGTTTCTGCTGTTCGTCCCGTCGTGTTCTTCCGCTTGCCGGCTGCTGTTATCGCCAAAGTCCGCCATGAGTGAGAAACAAGAGATGACAGGTAGCGGGTTGGAAGTATTTAAATTGGGAACTTGCTACTTAACCACCTCCGCCGTCTGACTCATGATTATTTCCCGGTACTTCCTCCTTCTCCAGGCCGTCTTCTTCTTCTTCCTCAGCCCGTCAGTAGTTGTACATTACCAGACATAGAAAGAGCGCCATCTTCAGGTGCATCCAAAAAAACATTACACGTCACATTCACACAGGTGTTCCAAGTTAATCTTGCTAATTATACCTCAGGTTGAAAGGTCACAAAGCTCCTCAGCGTCATGGACACACTTTCTATTAAACTACATATTTTTCACAAACATACACTTTTAACATAAACCAACTTTTCTCTGCAGATATTATGGAACAGAAAAGAAATTCAGTTTAAACACAAAACGCTAATTATTTAGATCGAGTGATTATTCTAATGAAATAACCTCTGACTGCAGATGTTAAACTTGTTAAACATGTTAAACACTATGTGTTTGAATAAGTTTGAATGATGTTTTAAATAGAATATAATCAATTATTTATGTGATTTCTGTGGCATAAACAAAAACTGACAGAAAACTGATTATTCTGTATATAAGTTGTATGTAAGTGATAGCCTACTTTAATCTATGTTGAAAGCAATTCAGTGACACAATGTTATATTCTTAATTGAACTATTAATCATTTTTTCGCAAATTCGATGAACATAAACTCCTGAGTTAACAAATATCAATAAACTATTTTTAAAATACATGACATTTTTGACCGTTTATTTCTACTTCCTTATATCTGTTTATTTGTGCTTCACTTCCTGTTTCCCCAACAGACATTTTGACCCATCAGAACAAATGCAGGTGTAATTAATAACACTGACAGGTTCAAGTGCTCATTTCCTCTTTTCCTCAAACACATGCCGCGCTTAGAGTTTGATTGTTTTCACTAAAGAAAAAAACAAAAACAAAGGAAGTGTGAGGTACAGTTTGTACCTGCGACACAGTCCTGAAGCAGGAGCAGATCCCCCTGCTCATGCACCTGCAACAATACTTTTTGTTGTTGTGTCATAAGATGATTTGAGTGTTTATTTTTTTTCCCAATGCCACACTGATTCTTTAAAACATAACAGCCAATCACAGCCATCACAGCCCAAGCTGACATCTTCAAAGGAATGGTTTAGAAGGAATGAATCCAGGCCTTTGGGGCCAAAACAAAACAAAACTAAAAAGCACTAATGTCAGCAATACTCAAAATTGTTTTTATTTATATTAACCATTCATATGAATCCACAGCAGCATTCTTAATGATCCCCACTTTATATACGCAATCCATTACAAAGGAGGGAAGGGGTGAGACCGGACAACTCACGCAAAACAGAAATAATGAAATTTAGCAAAATTCCAGGTGGATGGGGAGGGACTTAACAGGGGCTCGGGTTACAGCCTGAATGAACATGCAGTCATGCACATTTCAGTTTATACTGAAGCCTTTGACAATTGCATCCACAGGATCGAATATCCAAACAAGTACAAAAAACAAACAAAACCCGCCAAAGCAACAGAAGCCAAATGAAGTTTACAAAGCAAAAACAAAAACACAAACAGTGTGTGCCCTCTGTATTTAAAAAAAGAAAAAGAAAAAAGAAATGTAGCAGGTCTTCACCCGTCTCACATTTGTTTTCTACAATTCTAATCCAAGTTACTGAATAACCTGCCACAGACAAATCAAACCAGGCAATACCTCAAAAAACAAAACAAAAGAAGTAAAAGATTTACGCACATGACAACAATCTTCACTCAAACTCCCCAAATTTACCCTAGTAATCCACCGTAGCTGTAGCCAGGGATTAAAAGGTCTGGTAAAGGTTAGCAGTGAGGTTTTTAGCTTGAAACCAGACCACAAGGTGCGTTGGTGCGTGGGAGCCTGGCAGGCACTCCACTGACTCTGTTAGGTGGTTGAGGATGAGCTCCTTTAGCAGCAGCTAACAGGAGCTATGAGATTATACAAGTGTGTTAGCGTCTGTGTATGTGTGTGTGTCCCTATATGCACTGAATGAATATAATTACATATACAGCTCGTTAAGTCTTTATCAATGGGTAAGTATATTAATGTGAGTATATCAATGATGTGTGTCTAGTTAGTACTGAGTACACATCTAAATGTGCATCTGAAGGTCTGTCACAAGTGAGTGCTGTCCAGTCCTCAGAGACCACCTCCAGATCTTCTAGCACTGCACGGTTACTGTAACGACGGCTTCAGGCGCCTGTGTAATAAATGAGCACTGATGTGTCTGCAGCCGAGGAGCAGTTTCCACCCGGGAACCTCCCTGGATCACCAGCTCTGATCTGCATTCTCTTCAGTCCTCGTCGCGACTAGTCCACCTCCTCCATGTTGCTGTAGGACGGCGCCGTGCACTCTCCGGAGTGGGCAAAGAGGTCAGAGGGCACCTCCGGGGTCAGCGACGGTGGTCCTTCAGGATCCAGGTCTGTCCCGAATAGTGACTGGCTAGAGGCCTGTAAAATAAACCAGTGTGAAGAATAAATCATGCTGGTTTAGTACACTGGGAGATTTCAGCTGTGTGAGGAGAAAGTGGTGAGGATGTTACATGACTTCAAAAACATACATGAGGACTATAAACACATGGAGATTTTATTTCCAAAAGGAGTACAATGCTCATATATGTATGTGTGTGTGTGTGTGTGTGTGTGTATATATATATATATACACACACACACACACACACACACACACATATTAGAAAGCAGCATTTATATGGAGGTATCTAGATACATTATTGCAGAGAAATTATCAAGGCTATAATTTTAAATACAGTACTTGCAATGATTTTTTATCAACAGTTCAATGATTTAAAGTATATTACAGTCTTTACATTATTTCCTCACAAAATATAAGTCATGATTATTCTTGCCAATGAACATTTTATAGCAGACTACACACATTTATCCTTCAGTCAGGCCCATTTCAATCCAGTCGACATCAAAAGAAAAAAAAAAGAAAAGAAAACAGCAGCAGCATTTAGGTGATTTAAAAACAGCAAAGCTTGTCCTAAAATTAAATCCTCTTCACTGCTGCTTATATACTGGGTATAAACAGCTTTCATACTGTCAAGTTCATCACCAAAGCAGTGTTGATCTGAGCACAAGCTTTACCTAATAAAGTTTTAAAACTACATGGACTTCAGTCTTGCATATATCTGAGTTAAGTATACACAGTCTGATGGTGCTATACCGAACAATTAAGGCAAACATAGGTCCTCTACACTGCCATGATACCAGAAGATTTCCCTGAGACCCAAATACACACCACCCACAATGACTGCAGAGTAAAGACATCAGCTATGGACAGTTTGGAGTCTAAAATATGGGGGGAAAAAAAAGGTTTTTTAGGTGGTTATGTCATAAATAAGAAACATATTTTGAGGTTTTCAAATGAAAACAAAAGCAGTAAATAACAATGATGCACTGCAGTGTTGCAAGAAAACAATATTCACATATTTTGTTATTTAACTGCACTGGTTGCACTTTGACTCCGCAACTGTCCATAATAAACCTCTGAAGCGTCCCACTCAAAACAAAGCAACACAATTAAAAACATCACATTCACAACTGGACGGTAATTCCCAGTTTGTGCATCATCAGTCACTTTCTCGTCTTATTTTTTTGTAGCGTGTTCTTACTACAATTCATCCTGAGAACTCAATCCTCACCTGCCTATGGCTTAAAAAAGTTCCATAAAAAGCAACTAAAAACAGATTGTGACAGAGTTTTCAATAAAAACCAAAACACAAATGTTATAGGAAAAAAAAAGACCATTTAAAACACAAACAGCTCATTTTAAGGCCTAAAAAAATGAATGTTATTCATGTAAGGGACATGGAAAAGGCAACAGCAAATAGGTCACACACAAAAATAGGTACACTTTGCTTCATGATACGGAACATTTAAAATGAATCACTGCCTCCTCTCAGACATATTCCATTCATCTCTCTTGCATTCGTTCTGCAGGAAGTTGCCGTCTTGTAGTGCAATTAAAACTAAAGGTCTTTAACATATGTTGCTCTAGAGCGACTTCATTTCTGCACTGGAATCATTTTCTCATAATTAATAATTACTGTACAACTATAAAGCTTCTTTGACAGAAACAATCTTAAATTAAACAACTACATATTAGCATTTTTGTTAGCTTTCAACCACACCTCACAGTCTTCCTGGTCCTTGAGTGACGATTTAATTGTTGTTAAAAGACAATGATGAACTTTTCCACACAACTACATCTTCCATGTGTATGTGGGTGTAGATGATTAAGGCTGATCATGTGAGAACTACTGTTAAAAATATGTTTCTAAAAACTACACCCTTGTTAAAAAGTACACATGCACTGGAAGCAAGAGTCAAAACAATGCATAGAGGCAATGTTGTGAATAGTTAACACTCAACATACCAGTTCTGTGTGCCGACAGAACCACTACTGCAGCTTTAACTGTAAGGTATTCTTATGATGACGGGGCATTGTTTGCCGTCACTTCGTCTACATGTTTCCTTAGCGTCTTTTATTGTGTGAAATAGTGCCAAAGGTATTTAAAGGGTTGAGCCATGTCCAGTTATAAATACATGTCAAGTGTTGCAGTGTTGGATAGAATGGAAAACCATTTTACTAGCTGAAGACTGATGTGATGTGAAAGTATTAAACTTCCTACTCTCCAGTTTATATCTAACCTCTCCTTGTTTGAACAACCTCACATTCATTTCTGCTTGAAAGCCCCGAGCCAAAGCAAGTCCCCACCCAGCCGGTGCTCAGGTCCAGTTGGCTTTGTAAAGAAGAGGGTAGACCAAATTGACGAGCAGGGCCAAAACCGCCGTCAGCGTACCCAGAACAAAGTATCGCACGCAGTCGTCGTCGGGATAGTCCGACATCCTCTGCCCGCGGTGCCGTCGCACCGGCCCTTCAGTTCTGTCTTCGTCTTCCTCATCCCTGTTCCTCTGCGTTTGTCGCCTCCACAGCGCAGAGCGGAACAGTCCGCGGGGGCCTTCGTCAAGCCCCTCCTCTTCCTCCTCCAGTTCCCGCCATATTAGAGAGGCCTGCGATTGGCGGAAACCGGTGTCAGCTTCTGGGAAAAGGCGTGGTCTAACACATGCTATGATTATAATAAGAGACATTCAGCTGATCTATCTCACAGTCAATCAAATGTGTTGATTAAAGGAACCTGACGTTCTCTGTTGATAGTCTAAGGACGACATCAGACAATGTGAGACGCTCTCAGAAGTCAGATGGACACGTGTGGAGGAAATTCACATTATTTAGTAAAAACACAGTTAAGTAAATCAAAAAATACAAGAAAATCTTAACTGTGCTCTTCAAACACTTTCTCCAAGTCCAAAAAGTTAAGGTATATGGTTCAGTGTCGAGTGCTGACTTAAAGACAATCATTACAACACAGATACAGAAGTGAATCCGTTTCTAAAGTCATAAAAATGAACCATTCATCGTTTTACCACAAAGGATCACATACAGTCTCATTCCATCATCAGCATCACAAGGTTGCTTCCACAACCTCTGTAATAAAAGCTAAGTGTAAAAACACAATGCATCATCAAGAGTGAGAGAAATCATGCTCTGCATTTGTAGTAGTGCACACCACTGAAGCTGCTGAAAAACTAAATGTCACGAGATGCTAATGCTGCCAGACAGCTGAGCTTTGTTGAGCTGAGATTAAGAGACCATCTCTGTGACGGATCTATCCATCATGAAGCCACTGGGCTGGAGTTATTAAGCATCACAGAGCGGGAGCTCTTATCAAGACTAATTGAAAAGAGGCACTTTTTTCTCAGAGGCACTTATCACACTGGCTTTTCTAGCGCCTGCCAAACACGGCTAATTCCTAAACAGTGGGGGACAAACTTATCAATTTGCTCCAGTTCAATGAAAGGAGGATTTGTATTCAAGTTGTATTCAAATATACATGTTTTTGCAGCTCACAATACCTGGTGAAGAAGCTGTGATCATTTCTCAAAGTAGCAGACACAATCTGAGTGTGGATTATGTAGAATAAACATGTGATACCATCAAGGATGAATCTGCAGATTCTCCTGTTTTAAGTGAATTTTCAGTGGTCACACTCATTGAATTAACTGTCATGAGATATTTTCCCAAAACCCCTTTTACACCTTTTATTTAATCATAGACTACACTGTGCCCTTATACACCAGCATGCTGCTGCTTTCATTAACCTGTTAAATTCGGGTTCTGAAAAAACGTTCAGAAATGTTGTGTGAAGAACAAGATGTGTGTGTGAGTGTGTGTGTGTGTGTGTGTGTGTGTGTGTGTGTGTGTGTGTGTGTGTGTGTGTGTGTGTGTGTGTCTCTGATCTTGAAGATTAAACTGAATCAGCTGTTCTCTTTAAGGTAAAACGTTAGTGTAAGATGTGAGTTAGCCAAGTGATATTACAACTTTGGATAAAACCTAAACCTCAGCTGCTGTACTTCAATGTGAAAAGCCCTTTTACAGACTGGGACTCTGTCTCTTGTGGTTGTGGCGCCCTCACCTGGCTGGCAGTAGCTCCTGCTGCAGTAGGTGACTCGGCTCCCATAGGCCTGAGGAAGCGCGGTGGCCTCTCCACGGGGGAGTTTCGTCGCCGGTAGAACAGGACATAGGCGTAGCGCGTCACCACCTGACTCTCTTCCACCATTGTCACGGTGCTGTCATCAAACAGACGCCAGCCTGCAGGAAAGGGAGGATGGGTAGAGGAGAAGGAAGAGAGGTTAGCAACAGGGCAGCAGAAAAGGGAGGCTGGAGCGCTTGTGAAAACCATCGACTGCACACTCACCAACATCACTGCGCTGGCTGTTCTTGTCACTTGGCAGGCGAGCGTAGGCCGTGTAGTGGCCTCCTATCATTCCACCATAGTGGTTGATGACGGCATACAAGTCATAGATAGGAGGCTGCTGCATCTCATCCTTCTGGCCAATACAGAACTTGCTCAGATCCAGATTCCTACAAGACAAGAACAACAAGTGAACGCAGTGATCAAAGCACTGCACGAGCCTTTAAATCACCAAAAACATTCTATGAAACAAGTGGTTTGGTGTAAAAAAAACGTGGACGAGTTGATATGTAAAGTGACTTTTTAGTGCGTTTACCTGACGGGGAAGTCAACCATGTCGTTGATCTTATCCCTCCAGATGAAGCTCCTGAAGGAGAAGCGTTTGAGCTGGATGATCAGAACATTGGGCAGACGCCACAGCAGCAGCTGCTTGGAGGCCTCACGGTGCTGCTGGCACTTTGGACAGTACCTTAAAGTATAGAGTATTGTTGATATAGGCCATTGTCATACATTGTTCTGCTCCGCAGTGAAAAAGAAAGACCAAGAACACCACACTTAGGTAATAAAATGTTGAAATGTGTCACAGGGTCAAGCCCATCGCTGAATAGAGCTTAAACAGTAGGTCAGTTTGCCCATGTCTGGATGCCTGAGCAGGCTCTGGGGCAGACCTACTCCTGAATCTGAATCTGTGACAAATCTGGTTTCAATTACTTATTCTGCACCTTAGTTTCTTTGACTCATAGTGCTGCTTTTCTGCAATACTCTTAAAAACCTAGAAGTCAAAAATGTTTGATTTATTATATAGTCTAAAAACTGCTAAATCAATATGGGTATATTCATCTTCTACAATCTAGGATAAAATGATGTTATGTGCAGAATGACATTTTACTCTCACTCTCAATACTGAGAGTAATTTATTCCTTCGCTGTCTTTAAAAAGGCCATAACCTTATAGGAAAAGTTTTATTTGCTGCAGTGTTGTTTTGTTTGTTGAGAGAGTTTCACAGTGCCCACCTGACTCACTGTACTGACTCTCTGCAGTTTGATTTCTATTCTTTTCAGTCACTTCAGTCACTATCAAAACTGATAAAAATTCTTCTGTTTAGCTTCTCCAATGTAAGAATCTGCTGCCTCTCTGCCTCATTTTATGTCCTTGTAAGTATATTTAGGCTTTGGACTGTTGGTATTTAACATTTAATGGCCCAGTACAAATGCTACTGGTCTTATTTTTAAATGATCTATTCACAAAATAAAGATTCCTACCATGCTTCCTCTGGTGCCAGCACCTCTGGCTTGGTGAAGAGGTTGAGGCACTGCTCCAGGGTGAAGTGTCCCGCTCTGGCTGTCTCACTCAACGAGCCGGGGTCCTCCTCATACTCCAGCTCCTTGGAGCTCACCAGGACGTACTCCTTCAGGCGCTCGTTGTTTTTCCAAACCATCTCCAGGGTCACGTCTTCAGGGAGGTCCGCAAGCAAGTCCTCTACAAAAGGGTTTGGTGGGGAGGGAGAAAAATAAAGCTTGTGTGTTGGACTTTTTCATTTCAACAGCGGACACAAGAAAAAAGCTTATAGTCTAATATCACTTTTTGGACAGTCTTTAACAGTCTCAACAAAAGACTTGAACATCAACATGTGAAAGTAGAATGACTAGGATCCATTAAATATCAGAACTGAAGAGAGGTGTGGTCATACCTTTCTCATCCAGCCTCTGCTCCTTGTTGTTAGAGTCCAGCAGAGAGACATAGAACTGACTGGCATGACCTGATGCGGATTCGCTTGGATGCTGGTACCCTGTTACTGCAGCTGCAAAACGTGTCAACGAGAAATAAGGTGATGCAAGAGGTAAAAAAAAAAAGAAAGAACAAAAACACTGAAGCATCCGCATGTTGTGTTATCACCTTCTGGCCGCACTGCCTTCTCACAGGACGTCTCTTTTTCAGCATGAGGGTCCAGAGAGCAGCAGGACGTTGTGGAGATTGGCTCAGTGAATCCTGAGTCTGTAGTCCGCATGGTGGAGAGGGAGGTCTGGGAGGAGGACAGGGACTCTGACTCCGCAGAGTGGATGGCTGAGGCCTGAGCATACTCTGCCTGGGATTCAGGCAACAGAGACTGGCTCTCCAGCTCCAGATCACCTGCTCCTACAGCACTGCTACCACCCATGGCCTCATCCCCAGACCCAACACCCTCAGGTGAGCCGGCTGGCATTGGGGGGAGGTCTGCCCGACACTGAGACGCTTCAGGCGACGTCCTGCCTGACTGGAAAGGAGGCTGGAACACGTTGACAGAAAACCTGCACAGAGAGAAAGAAGAACTAAGTGATTCCTCATAATGACCTTAAACCAAAATTAAAGTAAAGCAAACTTGTTTAAGCCCTTTGAATATATTCTAGTAGAAACACTAGATGTGAAAATACAAAATGCAATGTATTTTCTCTAAATATTCACATGATTTTCCCTCCACTATCTGGGTCTCAGATGGAAATTAACAAGCAGCTCCTTGTAACCTGCTCTGCCCATGTGGTAAAAAACAGGGCAGTTTGAGTGAAACTGGGTTTATACTTTTCCTAATCTTTCAAAACAGCTGAAAGGACAAACAATCAAGTGTGTGCTTCTGCGTCTCTGTGCAAATACAGTAGGTCCAACCTAGTAACACCTGTTATTATTATTTTACATGCCTCAAGCAATTATTCAGACATGAGACCAACATGTGAAACTGCCATCACATTCATGTAACAAGGTGCATAAGCTGTTGTAACAATTACGTGTCTGTCATTTAACATCTGATATGACGAAGAACACTCAAGGACTGTAAGTGCGACCGTGTACCTGGAGAAACCCTCTAGTAGCTGAGTGAGGCGGGTATAGGAGAGTCGAGACTCCGGCACGCTGACCAGGAAGGGCAGACCCACGTTCTCCATGTTGGGTCGACACAGACTCTTATGATTGGGCCAGTGGGTCCTTTGACATACTCTGAGAGGAGATGAAAAAGAGTTAACGTCTTCATAGAATAGTTCATGGACTTAATTTAAGAACAAAATGACGTATGCCTTGGTGTACATTGGAAAAACACTGTGCCAGGCTGAGACATTTTGGAGGAGAACTCACTGATTGCAGTAGCCCACACGATAGCAGCGAGTGCACCGCTTCAGCTTGTCTTCCTCAGACACTGGAGGCTTCAGGCAGGCGGCACACTTTGAGATGGGGATGTTTGGGACCTGGAGTTTCTGGAGGGCAAACAGAGGGCAAAGAAAGACCGATCAATATCTGCACACACTGATCTATTTTAACAGGCTCTAGAAAACGTATAATCAGGAATTGGCTTTTATTACCTGCTGCACTCTGAGCACTATCACCCTCTCTTTGGCCAGGTCTTTGGAGAGCACCTCAAAGCAGAACAACATGTCCGAGGAGGACACCGTGTCCAGGGAATGGGACGGCAGGAACATGCGCTGGAAGCGGTTCTTCCCCACCTGAGAGGAGGGAAGTCCAATTATCAGTTCGATCTTAGAAATTTGTATCAGGGTGGGAAATCCTGATTATTTTAGATATCTCACCTCTGCAAGTCTCAGATTCTCTGGTTTGACCCTCACACTCCTGGAGATGGATTCAAGGACTTCAGCAGTGCTGGAGTTCTCCTTGCTCACACTGACCAAAAACTAGAGACACACAAACACAAAAAGGTACATTAAAGCCTGGATCACATGTAAGACATTTTTACGTTTCCTCTAAACAAAACAACATCTTTGAATTGTCAGTAGTATGACTGCAAGAATTAGAAACTTGTTATTTGTTCTTACCTTGATGGGTTTTTTATGAGGTTCCTTAGCGAAGTAGAAAACTGAGAGCACCTTTTGTTTCTGGGGCAGTGGGACTGGCAGGTAGAGGAAAGGGTCAAAGGTGATAGACACCTGAAGAGAAAGACAGAAGTAAAGGTGAAAGGAAGTAGGTTACTCATCACTATAATAAGGCAAAAGCATTTACTGTGGAAACTTATTGTGTTTTACCTTGGAGCATGTTGGACAAACGAGCTTGGATTTGAACTGGCCTTGGAAGAGGTCCACTATAAAGGAGTCGTTTCTCATCTTGTGCCTCTGCCATGCTTCCTCTGCAACCACCTGCAACAACAGACGAATCACATCATCAGGCCTTGATGAGACTGTAGGAAGAATGGTGGTTGTCATTTCAGTACAAAAAAAAAAACACAGGTGACAAAAACACTTACCTCATCCAGGCGTCCGTCAGAGTCAACCGTCTCTGTGTACGGTTTATTCTGGATGCGGTTCAAGTCCTCATGTAGCCCGTCCAGCAAGAAAGCCATGAACTCCTGAGCATCATGCTGGGCGTAACCTGTAAACTGACTGGCTTTACTGGCCACAATTGCCTGCAAGGTTACAAACAACACAAAGGAATGACAACACTGATCATGCTGCACTTGCTACATTCAAAGTTGCAGTCAAAGACAAATGTAACTCTTTCAAAGTAAAACACGTCTTAGCTGGTACAGACAGGGAGAAATATTTTTGCACATTTTTCATATAGAGAAAACGTCAGGGTGCTGCTTGTGTACCTTGAGTTTTGAGGGTTGGAAGGCGTGGTGAGTTCCTTTCCAAAGGGCCCTGAGCAGCACTGCAAAGCCGATGGCCAACCTGCCTCCTGTTCCCAGTGGATTATTGCAGTTGATTTCTGCCTCGAATGCTCGATCTGCAGGGGCACAGAAAATAGAGGCATGAGTCACTAGGCGCTTAGACATTAAGGGACAAACAGTGACTCACCATTATATTTAAACTTAACGTGACTTCCTGTGGGTATATATATATAGAATGGAGTGACAAAAAAGACAAAACTTTTCATTTGTTTTTAAAACATGTGAGATGTTCAGGCCACAGCATGTCTTATGGAAATGGCTCCTCTTGTGTTTGCTGTTGGTTATTCTTATAATGAATGTAAAAGAATCAATACAAACCATAACCCTTTGTATTTTATTTCATATTTAGTTTCCTCAGCTCATGTTTCATTTATACAGTAACAATTTTCTATCAAATCACCTTTGTTTTAGTCCAAAAACTAGGTGACCTAGATTTTGCTTCAATGTTTTAAATGCTTAAATAGCAGAAACTGTATCTGGCTTATGCAGATAAAAACTTACTGAGTCCTCATTAAATTTGCCCCTGGGGGCCCCTTAGCACCATTATTGTCTGCATATCAGTAGTCCCTCAGCTACAAGCAGAGGAAGCCAACACGACCACAATTAATGTGGCGACAATTATCACAACAATATCTAGTATCTATCTGTGTATCAAAGCACAAATAAAAACACACTGTTATATTTCTTAGCAATACAAGAAGGTGGTGTCGTTCACAGCAGGATGGAAGATAAAATAAATGATGTGTTTGGTCAACAAGAGCTAATTTATTTTATCAGAGTGCCAATAAAATATACGAGTTTTTTTTATTTATTAAGGGCTAAGCAAAGTAGTGTAATACATAATTTACCATGGAAATAATCCCTGAGTTCTCTGGTGTTGGACAGGGATTGGATAACACTGTTCATGAAGCAGGTGTTGCCAAGGTTAACCAATCCTGTAAAACCAGGCAGGCACACCTTCTTCTCCTCCTCCTCCTCATGGCGCTCATTGCTGGCAGGAGGTGCATGGGTCATGGGCTGCACCATGCAGGTAGGCTTAGGCTAGGACAGGAAATATATGTATGCACACCGATTAATAATACCCAACAATAATACTAAGTTGACAAACTAGTAAGACCAAATAAGCCAGTAAACAAATCAAAAATGTGTTCCTTAGTCTTGTCTCGTCATCAACTCTACAGTTTCTATGATTATGTATTTTGTCACTCACTGCGGTAACTGTGGTCTCTGGCTTGGTAATAGCAACATGCTCAGAGACGGTGCGAGGAGCTACAGTATCCAGACCACCATCCTCCACTCTGGATGAAGCCTTAGGGGCCTTGGGTTTCTCCTCCCCGACTCTTGGTGGCTCCTCCTTGGCTGGGAGGCTGTGCTGGCTGCTGCCTGGTTGGCTCTTATCCATGCAGGCAGGGCTGGAGGGCACAGCGACCTTGGCGCCACCCACTGCACCTTAAACAAAGGAGAATGGAGCTTGTGGTTAGAAGATGAAGGTCAAACCAACAGGACATGAACAGTAATAATGAGCTTAGACTTGCAAAATCAGTATGTTCTTTTAAATCGCTTCTAAAAACAGATTTCTTTCACAAAGCTTTTAAATAATGTCTTTTAAATATTTCAGATATTTTTACATTTCTTACTTGTGTTTTTATTTTTTTTTGTTTTTACTTATTATCTTGAGTAATTTGTCTGCATGTGTTTGCTTGTTATTTTATGCTTGTGAAGCACTTTGTAATCTCTGATTTTGCTAAGTGCTACATAAATTTAACTTTATTATTATTATTGTTGTTATTATAATAACCTGTCACATATCACATATAACATATGACTTTGAAATAAATTAGGAATCATTAGGTCAGACATATTTGAACTCTTATTACTCTTTAGTCAATTAATCAATTAACAAGTGCTGACAGATGAAACCTCAAGTCTTGGTAATGCTTTATTTTAAGGATTTGTTACTTACAAATAATTCCCTTGGAAGTTTCCTGTATAGAAATCATTGTCATCATAGTCATTTTGTACTAATTATGGGGAAAACAGAAATTTCCTTGAATGCCAAGCTCCCTTTAAACACAAGTAAATATTCATTCAGTATTTGTTTATTTCTGGAATCTTCATTCTGAATTATAAGGCTGCTTGAACGCATTTTATACACGTTTAGAACATCTGTGTGTATCAAGTGAATACTGTCATTGTGGACCTGTAAAATAAACGGAGACATTTTCTCTATTCCCACGCTGAACCGCTTCCTGGCTCTCAGGGGCCACACAGTCTGCAGCCCACATGAGTCTGGCGGATCAGACTGGTACCGAGATCTACTTACTGACTAAGTTACAGAGTTCAAATTCCTGTCATTGAGAGCCACCTGCAAAGCACACACATAGTAAACATACACACAGGCGGACGGATCTGCTGTCTACATTTATATCAGACTAGCTCTTCACATGTTAGAGTGTTCTTCCTGAAGCTTTAAGTGCATTGTTTAAGTTTAAAAAATATGGTTTTAATGGTGTTTACCTTGAGGTGTAAATGGTGTATGTTGATTTTCAGATTACAATGTTTACATATGTTCGGGATCGACTAAGACTATCAGAAGAGTGTTATCATTCCACCACATACGACACATTAGAAACTCTATCCGCACAGTGTTGACCAGTAGAAGCCTGGCTGCAGACCTTGTGTGGCAGGGGCCTCCAGACCCCCCCAGCGCTGGCTGTGTCTCTTCTTCAGGGTGATGTCCAGGCGGGATGGGGTGAAGGAGTAGCTGCACTGCTCAGGCTGGATCAGGTTCCTGAAGCACAGGAGGGAGAAAAGAAGACAGGTCAGATAAAAAGACAAAGGGCAGTGAGGTGACGCCAACTCTCACCACCTATCAGCTATCAGTGTTTCACCCATTACAATATGAGGTTTCATACTGATTATTTTAAAACAGTTATTGTTTTAAGGAGATTTAAAACATTTAAATTGTCATTCAAAGGACGTCAATAAACTTGATTAACTCATATGATGGGATGGATCAGATTAGACTTTGTGGTGATTAGAATTTGAAAAGCCACCAACGTTTAAAGGACCGGTGTGAAGGATATAGTGGCATTTGGTGCTGAGGTGCATCCTAATACATATACTACTATTATATACTAATATTAAAATTCAAACAGCCCCCTCTAAACACAGTGCTTGGTTCGTCTGTTCTGGGCTACTGTAGAAACGTGGCGTTCCAACATGGCAGGCACCATGGAAAGGACCCGCTCCCTGTGTAGATATGAAGGGCTCATTCTAAGCTAATGAAAACGCAATGACTCGTAGTTTCAGGTGATTATACACTAATGAAAACATAATGATGAATATTATACTCAATTTCTGCCAATATATCCCCCTAAATCCTACACACTGATCCTTTAAATCAACGGCTTCCATGAGTATTTCATTAGCATTAAACAGGATAAATTTCTCAAAATAATCTTTATCACATTTGGGTCAAGTAAACAATAAATTAAGTAAGTAATAAAAGTTAAAAAAAAACAAAAAACAAAACAAAAACAATAATACATAGATAAAAGTCTGATTTGACCTGGGGTCACAGTTTACTATCAGTACATGTCAGGTACTCCCTTATCTATTTCATGTGTTTGACCTGACCTAGATTTGGACAAATAACTGCTCCAATTTGCTGATGATACTGGCTCGGTTTCTTAGAAAAAAAATCAATTCAGCAAACTTGTACAGTTCATACAAACAACTACACAGGAAAACATGCAATCTCTGCTGCTTAAATACTGAGTTTTTACATTTGAAAATCTTTTTTTGACAAAACAGATGACCGGCTACAGTGACCGCAACAGTTACCTGAGTTTGACTTGCCACTTGAAGACTGTGTTTGGTCCACAGTCTGAATGAAGCCGCAGAAAGTTAGCATCACTGTAGAAAGACGACACAGAAACATCTCCATCATTCACTGGGATAACTGGGATAACTGCTCTTTATTTGTAGCATATGCACATTGACTACCTTGTCTGGAAGATGAGGGTGAAGTCCTGTTCCCTGAAGATGACCCTGGCTGTGTCCCTGCAGATCCCCTTCATGTAAACATTAACCACCATGAGGTCTGTGCCCTTTTCATACGAATCGTTCTTCACAAACTGTAGGTTCACCATCGGCTCTGGGGCTGTGGGGAGTTAGGGATAGTTATACATCAGCAAACTCATATTTCATTGATGAATAAGTCAGTGTTCACAAACTATATGGACACTATACACTTTGTTATTGCTGCACCTATCAGCACACACTGTATATACATTGATATTTTCAGAAAATAAACCCTATAGAAAGTGGAAAACACAGATGTAAATTTGTATGGATTGTGATCTATAGTAAAAGATGAAGCTTCTTGGATTAAAATCAGGGTCGAAGGTTTGGAAGGTGTTTAATTGTGTTTATTCGGATGTAGCCATTGTTTTTCTGCCGTCTATTGAAAGGTATGTGAAGGTATTCGCACGCACGCACACCTCGCCAGCAGTTGGTTTAAATCCCCACAATGACAATTTTAACACAAACGCTTGTATGATAAACCAACATCAAAGGCTTTCTGTATTTTCAAAACCTTCAACACACCTTCCTGTTGTTTAATTTCCAGAGAGGGCTCCTCCTTGGACTGGTCCCGCTTCTCCTCTCCGTCACAGCTGCCCTGCCTCTGGGCTACATCGGGTGCCAGGCCTTGTTTGGCAACCATGCCAACAGTTGGTGCTGGTACCGTCTCTTTTGATCCAAGCTGCTGGCAGATCAGAGTATCCTGCTCCGATTCCTGCTCAACAGGCTTTTTCTCTGGCTCTGAGTCTGTTCTGTCTCCTGGTCTTGCAGGATAAGCGGAGTCCACTTCACTGTTGAAGTCGACAGGTTTGAGGCAGTCACTGGTGCTGATGGGAGCTGCTGGTTGGCTTTCATTGCCGGGTGCTGTTGCTCCAGACCTGTCTGAAGACTGGGTTTGTTTCTCTGCCACCTGACCCAAAAGAAAGAAAAGAAATGTTATGTAAATCCTTCAGGAATTTTTAGGCACCACCTAAAGCCTTGATATTATCTCAACATCTAAGAGCAGTGGATTGTAAGGTTTCCATGACTCCTCTTCTCCCTCTCTTCACTGCAGTTATCAAGAAGAAAGTGGACAACTTGACTCCGAGGCCGTGCACGGTATCATAGCATTTTGATGCTAGATGTTGTGATGACACCTCATTACACTACACACAGCAGACAAAGCAGTCTCTTGTCTGGTTCACTCCTCTAAATCAGACAAGCTGTTGTGTGAACAAACTGCAAGACTGTCGTTAGTTGACAGTTCACAATAACGTTTAATCAAATCACAAGTCTCTTCTAAGCTGGAGGGAAACTTGAAAAGGGGAGGGACCACACAGGCCAGATGGTGTTATCGGCTGCCACCTTATGAAATCATAGTGCTGAATGATTTGAATTAATTATTTGGAATTATCCAATTATGATTTATTTCTATAAATTTAACTCCAGTCCTGTAGTTGTAGAAGGTGTAGTTTAAAACAAGGTTATACCAAACATAACCACAACAATTCCTATTGTTTCCACATGAACAGATAAAACAATGCAGGCGCTTATTGTTGAAGTTCTCCCACGGTTCAAACCAGTCAGTCTGAGAGAAGATGACTTGTAAGCAAGTTGAGCCCACACTTATTAAGATATTATAACATTACGGTATAATCTTAAATCATATGGCATTCAAAAGTGGAACTATATTTATTGATAGCAGCTATAATATTAATTTGTGACAGTCATAATTACAGTTACAATTTTAAACTGGTTATGGACAAGCATGATGTCAATTACATTATTTTATAACAGAATAAAATTAAACACAAATCACATCTGACAGTTTTAGAGCTGACATGATTAGCATTTTAATATACAATGAATAATTTAAGTCACTGTTTTACTCAAAAAGGCCGAAATGACTGACTCCAAACTCTCAAATGTGAATATTTACTAGTTTTCTTAGACTTCTGTGATAATAAACTGAATACCTTTAGATTTTGGAGTTAAACAATACACTCTGCACTCCAGCAGTTCTGGAAATGTTTCACATAATGATCTTTAATAAACCATAGTTGTTTTTTTCCCTTTGTTTTATAGAACAATATAATGAACTGTGTAAATGCAAATTCTACTACCATAGCTAATAATCAGAAACTAATATTAAGTGTTCATGTAAATGAAAAAACAAGAACTAAGCAAAATAATTTCAATAAATACATTTTAACAAGTTACATGAAAGAAACGTAGTTGGAGCTATAACCAACCACAAGGTGACGACTTGTCTCACCTGAGTTTTGTTGGTATGGCTGGCAGCAGCGACAGCAACTCCAGGTTTCGGTTCCTGACCGCTGCTTAGTCTGTCTGCTCTGTTGTTTCCATCCCTGCGTTGTGTCTGCGGGCTCCGACCAGCGGGCAGGTGTGTGTGTGGAGCTTTACTATTAGACTTGACAGAGTGTGTGTCCCTGTCAGCAGCTGATGTACCCTCCTTAGTGGTCTTGGGCGGCCGTACAATGGTGCGCTTGGCACTGGGTTCCTGAGGCTGCTGCTCGGCTTTTGTGACGGGAACAGGCTTGCTGGTGGTGGCTGAGCCTTCTCCAGCTCCGCCTTTCGCCCCTACAGAGTCCGTGGTGGCTTTGTCGCATGCTGGTTTGTTTTTCATACAGCGCTTGACACCCCGCTCAGCTTTGCCGCCTCCGCGTCTTGACTCGCTGTGTGCAGGTGAGGAGGGAGGCTGGGGATGAAGTTGTTTGGGTTTCTCTGAAGACTCCGATGCAACAGGCTTCATCTCTGGTTCCTTGTCATTTTTGGCCTCTGTGGGCGCTGCCGCTTTCTCCTTCTCCTTCTTGTTTGACTGAAACAGCACAGACAGAAGCAAAGCCATTTTTATCATTTAACCAAAGGCTGAAGATCCTGTTCACCGGCTGAATGCTACTTTTCATTGTGTCCCAACTAATATTACACATTTTCATGAAATAATAAAATATTATGAAAAATACAAGAGATAAAAACAAGACGCAAATATACTCATGTATGGAGAAAGAATCATCTTATGTGACTCACCTTAAGTGATGGCCAGATGTGAAAGGGAATCTTCTTGTGCATGATGATGTGCAGGAAGCCTCCCTTCTCCTTGTACTGGACTCTGCTACACGAAGCCTCAATTTCCTCCTGCAGCTGGCAGCTCCACTGCCGTCCATCTGAAAGATGAAATCATGCATACAGATGTTATTGGAAGCAAGACTGGACTCATACACTTAACATATATGGTTAAAAGACAAGCTATACAAGTCAGACAAAGATATGTTTCAGTTAAAACATATGTGGGTGACATGCAATCTCTTAAGATAGGTTTAAAGTTCAACAAGGCCTAAACCCGAATGCACAACTGTGCCTGTTCTTCTTTTCTGATTTCATGTTAATAACATTCAACAGACTTCTTTATATTTATGCTTCACAGTTTTATTTTCTGTGTTTTGTTCCATGCTTACATTACTATGACTTACCTGGGAAGCAAACATGGCAGTGTGTATCCGTGAAGGTTGTGCTTATGTCCTCTATCCTCTGCACCCCCTCCCCACAGCGCAGCCTGACAGTCACTTCATTGACATTCTGCTTCCAGTCCACAAATACATCTGAAAAACCCAAAGGAACCAACAGTCACATTGATGTAAAACCAGAGCAGGAACTTGGAAAAAAAAAATGCACTTTGCACCATGATTATTGGAGTACATTCATTTTTCATTAGAATACATATTAGTCACAGGCCACTGCCCGAGCTACATGGACACTGCAGAAACATTTTGAAGTGAATCCCATCTGGTAAAAATTCAATCAGAGAGTAAAAACAATGCAGAGTACAACAGACAAAGAACAGTTTTTCAGTAAGACCAATGGCGAACATACTGTACCTCTGCTACCCTGAGAGAACACACATGCACACACACTGCAATGCACCTGCTCACATAGGCCATACCATTGCACTCATGTGCTCAACTGGGTCAGCACAGAGCACTCAGACACAGAGTGAAGCAGACAGTACAGTCAACTCAGCAATCACAGACGGGACATCTAAAATTAGTGTGCCACACAAACTGTATTCCAAGTAAACAAATGCATGAAAGCAAATGATTGACTTACTGACTCAGAAAACATACCACCAAACCATACACACACTTTAAGGGTACGATCAAGAGCAGAAACTCTGACAGAAAGAACAAAACAAACGTACCATTGTTCATAGTGACCTCAAAGTTGTGGCGACAATTCAAACTAAAAAATCATCCCAAAAAAAGAAGCAGAAGGAGCAACAGACGCCCTGCTGGCGTATGGATCCTACACACACACACACACACACACTTGTGTTTCCAGTCAGTCTTCAACGACGACGACAGCCCTTAACTTTCCCACTGTCACTCCTTAACTCTCTCACCCTCCCTCTCTCTCTCTCTAACTTAATCGCTCTAAAAAGGTCACAAGCAACACCCAATCCCTTCCAGCTGGTAGCAGTGGTATTCCCAGTGGAGCCACGCCACAGTGTACTCTCCTGACTGGGTACAACATGATCATGATATGAAAACAATAAAATATACAGTCGATTCACATAATTATAGTCCATTGATGTCACAAGAAAAATTAACATATTGGACTCGCCATTTCTATCTGCACCTCAAGGTAAATATTAATAATGAAAGCATAATCGATAAAATTAAATCTCAATAAAATAGTATTAGTGGAGGGGCGTCGTGTAGCGCAGTGGGTTACGCAGGCGCCCCCATATATAGAGGCGACAGTCCTCGCTACAGCTGGCACCCCGTTCGACTCCCGCTTCGGACGGACCTTTCCTGCGTGTCATTCCGGCTCTCTCTGCCTCCCCATTTCCTGTCTCTCTGCTGTCCTGTCCATTAAAGGCACAAAAAGCCCAAAAAAATAACTTAAATAAATAAATAGTATTAGTGGTACTGTTTCATTTTTATTACCATAATTATTATTGCAATAACAGACAAAGTACACCTTATGTAACCATTTATGTTCAAGTTTAATTACAGACATATCCACCAATTGAATAGCTCTGCATTCAGAATATACCCAGTGTCTCAGATTTACTTTAATCATAGGTTTCCTGTGCTTCCTATGCTTTCATACAATTTTAAATAGTAGTTTTGTATGATATCTGTGGGAAGAGGACTGTCAGTCTGGGACTATTGTGGCTGGAGGATGTGTTTAGGCAAATGCCTGCTATACTGCCAAATAAAATGATTGCCTCATTAGAATAAGTGCAATAATTACACAGCATTTTAACACTATTAGTGTATTAGTGTATCATATTGGCTTGAGTCTTTATCTAGCCTTGTCTCTACACTTCAAATGTACCAAGACCTGTCAGATGCAACACACAGTATGTGGTTGAACGAAATCTAATAAGACAAATTCACTGTATTGACAATGACAACAATTTGACTCTCATCCCTTAAACCTTTCTAATACCTTTAAGAACAGCCGTGAATTTCCCCTAGGGGATATATAAAGTACCTATCTATCTATTTATCTGACAATAGCTGATCATGGACAAGAGTGCTTCTGATAGCAAAGTAAATGAACCACAGTTATGTGTACTAACGGGGTTTGACAGGTACTAAAGAAGGTGGTGTCGAGACAGAGAGAGTTGGGGCATTCTCATGACCTTGACAAACAAAGCTTCCCAGATTAGGATTCTCAGCCAGAATTACTGCACTTCAGGAGACAGCCAGCAACACAAATATTGTTACACAAATGGACTGTGTAGTGGGAAACCACACCAACATTCAAAACAGAACCATCTTGACAAAGATAGACACACCCAAACAAAGTAAAGTTCCAGCAAATTAAGGAGTATCCACTAACATTACATAGAACTGGTCAATCTAAACACAGCCCAGTTTTCTCATGTAAAGGTGTTCATTGCCTAAAAAGTTATCTACTCTAGGTTATTGTTTAAAATGCCCTCTAGTGATATTCAGCAAGACAGCATAGACAACAAAGACCAAATCCAGCAGGATGTTGTATCCACACAAGAATGCATGGATCCAGTGTCGAGTATCCACACTGGAGGTGCTCCTGGTTAATTATGAAGTGCCGTATCAGCTTCAACGCCCCTTGGCATTGATTCTCCATGTCTCTGGACTCTGCTGGAGGATGAACAGCATTCTTCCAAAAGATATTCCCTCATTTGGTGTTTTGATGCTGGTGGCGGAGAGCGCTGTGCAACACGTCAGTGACTGACTGTGAAGGCCACGGAATATGATTCACATCATTTTCATACTCAACAAACTATTGATCCATTGAATGTTGATCTTGGAAGAGACGACGACCATCAGGATAGAAATGTTTCATCAGAGGATAGAGTTGATCAGAACAACTTTGTGACTAAGGGGACCCAAACCATGCCAGCAAAATGCCCCCCCACAACATAACAGCCACTGGATCCCCGCACTGTAGGGGTCAAGCATTCAGGCTTGTACTGTCCTCTCGTGTGCGCCACACATGCCCTCGCCCACTTGTCGACAGTCTGGTGAAGGATGACTCATCTGACCATATCACTTTTTTCCACATCTCTGTAGACCAATGTCTCTGGTTTTTGCACCACTGAACTCTCAAATGTGCATTCATCTTTGTAGTGAGGGGTTTACGCACTGCAGCCCTACTATAATATCCCTCTCTGTGACTGTCGATGGATGGCTCTTTCTGAGTCTGATCACATCCCGTTTTTCCTTACATATCACACCGATGCACGAGCATCACGGTCCTCAAATAGACGCTGTCGACCACAATTTCCAAACCCATTTACTGACATCTTTCCGGTAGATCTAAATTCAAATGTCACGTCACTGTTATTGAAACACCAGGCAGTTGAGCCGTCTTTGTGACTGTAGCTACTGTCATCCGTATCCCAACAATGAACCCTCTTTCAGAGTCACTTAGATATTTTCCTGTCATCTTCATACAAAACCAACTGGGCCTTCAGCATCTTTGTATATGCCATAGAGCATGATTGGATGTTAAGAGCTTAATTGTAATTTTTCCTTTAACTTGTCACTTATCTGTATCATTAAAGCGTTACTTTGAGCTCTGATCTAAATATATTACTATAAATTTAAGTTGACACTTTGGAAAACACCAGTTCAAGAAATATAGGTTAGTTACATGAACTCACACATGCTCAAAATGTTACACAAGCTACACAGCTTATTTTCCACACACAGGTGTCAAGTGGCAAATTCCTCATTTTATAACAGAGTGGTGGGTCAGCCACAAATGAGGGCTGCTTTTACCCAGTGGGTCACTTTAATATAATGTTTAAATCTCTACGGTGTTAATACATTACAGCCTATTTAACAACACTCAGTGGCAACACATGCAAAAAGAAAAGAAAAACTGCTTTGCATTGTTTACTTGCATCTTTACTGACTTTGGATGGATGTGAGATGGTGTCGTTATGAACCAACAGGCTTTCAGGCCAAGGGCTTATAGGAAATGTGATATTTCTTACATGAGCACATCTGCCTCCAGGGATGAACCAGTGTCAGGCCTATCCATCACATGAAGCAACTCAATTATAGGTTTGAGTAATTTAGTCATTAGCAATGTTATCTCAATAATTTAATGATTTATGTGCAGGAAAAAATAAAGGCTGAGGAAGTTATGTTTTTCACCAACATGTATAAGTGAGCTGGTTTTCTTCCTTCTAGGCAACACAAGCAATAGTAACTGGTATGGACACCTAAAGCAAAGGGAAAGCATGTCTTTCTCAAGGATTTTGCAGAGCACTTTAATACCCTCAAATACTTAAAAGGTCAGGCAAGATAATATAATTTCTAGCTCCATCCCTAAAAACTCAGAGCAGGGTTTACTGAGCTCTACCACTAGAAGAAGACGTTGGAACCGAGAAATGTTGACATGTTCTTACTGTCAAATGTGTGTGGGAGTGTTTTTAAAACAAGAAAAAGATGTCCACCTCTGAATGGCAACCCTCCTCCTCCTCCTACAATAAAATGCACATTCAGCCACAAGCGCTTCAATAAAAGACATGAAACAGCAGAGAGGAAAGCTGTACTCACAGCCGCACATGAGCATGTAAAATTCAAAACAAAAACAAAAAAAAAAACCTTTAATGAGACACATCCCACAACTAAATGAAAAGTACAGTATGTACAAAGCAGCCAGCTCATACAAAAAAGCTTCCATGCAGCAAAGGAACAACAGTGGGACTAAATAACACAAGGCTGCATGTGTTTTTACTGCTGATCACAATGTTGATCTTTGCTATTTGTAGATCAGACCAACTCCTAAATAACTGAAGTGAAAGGTGTTAAATGTTTCAATGCCTCATGCAGAATAATTAATATCATAAATGTATGACAACAGAATGGATGAATGACAACAAAACTGTGGTCAGCACTTTATAGCTGCAGCACATCCATAACAGCAGTCTCTATCTAGATATATTTCTTTGATAATGATGCCAAATTATAAGCCTAGTATTTATACCCGGAGCAAGGTTTTTGCAATCTACACTTTATTCACACTAGACAAAGTAAAAGCAGAAAATCCTAACATTTGAGAAGCTGGAGCAAGGTAATGTTTGACATTTATCCTTTAAAAAACACTTCAATGATCAGAGTAGCTGCCAAATTATTTTTCGTCAATCTGCTAATCGATTAATCAACTAATAATTCAACTTCATCTGAATATACGGACACTGTAAGTTGGAAGGGTAGACAACATCTAACATCTGTCAGAGCTGACATCTAAACTGTCAAATGAAACTGTGTTTTCTGTTTGAGTTCCGCTGCTATGGGATTCCCTACCCGAGGAACTTAGCAAACTCAGCAGCCTCTTTTAAATCTCTCCTGAAAACTTACTTTTACCAGAAGGCAGTAAACCTGTTGCTCATCTATTTTTGCTTGTTTTTATTACACATTATGTTTTATCAGGTCCTATGTTCTATGTTTTCTATCCATGTGTCTGTTGTTTTTGTTTAGTTTTTTAAATCTTATTCTGTAACGGACTTTGTAACTATGTTTTGAAAAGTGCTGTACCAATAAAGTTATTATTATTGTATATTTATATTATTATTATTATCATCATTATTATTATTATTATTATTATTATTATTAGCTACAGCAGCCACCAGATATGTCAATGTGTCAGTTTTCATATTCATGACTGACATGTTTTTGCTTTGAGTACAACAGGAGAGAGAATATATTCCACCTATGCATGACAATTAAAAAATAAAGAAATAAACAGTGTACCTATATGATGTATACACAAACCTAATGCGACAATGCTTTGCGTACTATGCAAATATGGCATGGTATATTACATCAGTGAATCTCGTTACTCTGCAAGTAGCTAACAAATACTAGCAGTTGTTGTTAAACAACCAAAGTGTGTTGTTTATAAAGGACTTCTATGGAGATTTCCTGTAAACAAACAAAAGTTGTTTATATTCAGTCTCACAAAAACACACTGTGTGTTCTTGTGGTCTAATAAACATGTTCTACCCATTTCTTTTCCTCATAAACACTTATATAGGTGATTTTGTAAACGGTGCTTTGTTTAAATCTATGTTTGCTTTGTCAATCAGTAATCAGCATCCTGCTGCCAGTGTCAGCATCATGACACTGGTGACAGGATGTGAATCGCCTCACCTGCAGGTTTGTGCGTGGAAATTTTGACCACTTTGTATCATGCACATGTACAAAGACACAAAGGCACACACAATATATCCTCCTGTTGTTATTTTTACACTAATCTGTTAACTGAACGCTGGTAACAATAACATACGAAGAAAAAGACTGCACATTTATATGCACTGATGTAAATAATGCACAATTGTAAAAGGTTAAAAAATCAGCTTCTACATTTTTTTTTATGTGGAAGGACATGCTTTCATTATGTTTGTGAGACCTCAAGGATATGCACTGTACAATATTGTGAGAATCACTGAATGTAAACATATCTTTGTTTACAAGAAACCTTCACTGGACACCTGTAACATAATGATGGGATTCATGGTAGTTCCTGGACATTTCAGATACCTCTAAGTGAACAACAAAATACACTCAGCTTCTCAGTTACAGGTGTGCTGCAATTGTCAAATAGGTCTATACACTGCAATTTAACTGAAATGAACTTCTATATTTGCATAATGTACATTTAGTTTGGAAGATACTACAATACTGTATGTATACTGCAGTGTGGTTATAATGTGTTATTCCAATTTAATTTTTTTAATAATATTTTAACCTGACACATGATCTGCAAATGAATCAATAGCAACTGTTTTATTAGTCCTTACCTTTCTTGACTTCTGCAATGACCCCATCTGCTGAAGCAGCAGCTGCTGCTGCCCTCTTGGCCTCTCTGCTCTCCTGATTGGCCCTGTCCTTCTGCTTCTTCTTACTGGTACTGGAGGACAGGTCTGAGCTGCTGTCCCTCCCGCTGCCTCCTCTCTGCTGAGCCCCACCGCGACGGCCCACTGTCTCGCTACCACCGCTGCTGGCCATCTTCAGGCACTTGGCACTAACAGGCCGCCCGTCGCCGGAATCACTACCGCTGCTGGGGTCTGGATCTGAGGTGTGCCTCTTCCTGCCTGGCCCGGCTATCTTGGCGATGATACTGGTCTGAACTCTCCCAGAACAGAATCAGGAAGGCTAGTAAGGGATGGGGACCTAAGGCAGAAGGCAGAGAGACACTTAATAATCATGACCAGAAACTGATGGTAATCTACATGATTGCTTGGCATCAGTATGCGCGCTGTGTTCAGGGTCAAACAGTGTAATGTGAAACAACCCAGGTAAACATAATAGTGTTTGCAATGTTTGCATCATACAAACGCAAGCGCACGCGCACACACACGCGCACACACACACACACAGGAAAGGAGTGTAGTTCACTGCTTTTAAACTATTTATTTTTTATTTTAGGTTATAAATAACAAGGCCAAACAATACTTGGACATTGTCTTACAGGAAGAAGCATATGGCTGTACATAACGTTAGCCGAACGAAACCGACGTTGAGCCTTGCCTCGTTTCCTTAGCATAGCAACAACGAGTTGCTAGCTTGGACAGTCAAATGACAAACAAAGGACAACAGCTAAATCAGCCATTTTATTCGGCGTTTAACACAGCACATCTACTAAAAACTCGGGTGGTGTTCATTAAGCTAGTAAGCAAGCTTAACAATGCAGCTTCCCGTGCCCGGAGTTGTTAGCTTGGTAACGGGCAAGTTAGCCAGCCGACTGCAGGAGGTTCGTTTATTTTAAGACACACGTGTTGGAGGCTGTCATGTGCCTGTCATTATGAACTATACGCTCCTCCAGTTTATACTGCCAAGATGACGTTATTTTCCGAAGATTATGTTTTGTCAACCCAATTTACTGGAATAAGCAAATAACCTTTACTCAGTAACATTAGCACGTTACTTTAATGTACCCGGTACACACATTGGGCAGCGTGGGACAACACAATTCGTGGACAGTGGTTCGGGGGTTTACTTAATATTATATACTGTAGCTAATTCAACCGTACTGGCTACACTGACTGAAATTATCCAGCCATAATAATACCTCATACTGTCAAATAGCATTATAAGGCTACAGTTAATCAGAAGGACCACTAACACCTTAACTCCTACCCGTGTATTCCAGCAGAGCGCAAGACAAGTCAAACAATCCAACGCTCCTACAGTCTTCGAACATCTAATGTCATTAGCCACACATAGGCTAACGCTAGCTAACAAGAACGGGTTGATATGGTTACCTATTTTACGCAAACACCACAACATGACATCTCCTGACACCAGCCGCCCGTCTGAGATTAAAAGGCCCAATGGATACTGACACAAAAACGGGAGACTTACGGGGCTTCAATATGATGGGAATTCCGTTCCTGACACACAATGGCCGGCGACTCCTTCTGCTACTACCGGCTGCTAAGCTCCTTCACGGCCGTGGGCCGCTGTGCTCCTGCCCGCACTCGAAACCCCGTAGTCCACGGTGTTTCTGGAATATTCTTTCCTTTATCCGGGACCCATTTCTGGAAACTTAACGCTACTTATTTCCGAAATTCAAACAAAAGACAACAGTAAAAAAAAAAAACTGTTCAGTTTGTTGCTGTCATTCGGCCTATGCGGGCTGAGTCCTACTTTTAACAAAACACTCTACTGTCCGGCCAAACCTGAAATGAGTGCGCGCATCGACCACTTCCTGGCTTGCGCATTCACGTGATCTGTAGCTCTTCCTTTACCTCTCTCTCTCTCTCTCTCTCTCTCTCTCTCTCTCTCTCTGTCTCTCTGTCTCTCTCTCCCTCTCTCTCAGTTTGTACAGTACATTAAAACCAGGCTGAAACAACAGATTTAGTTTGCAAACATGGGAAGATGCACTACAGTATATGATGTGCTATAGTCTATTTATCAAACCAGGATTATAAAGCAAGACTGCAGCAACTTAAATGTATGTGTTATTTGCATTTAATGAAACTTTAATATTTTAGTTTATAATATGCCCCTTTGATGCATATTTATAAATAAATCAATATTTTAAATTAGCACCAAGAGATACACAGCACACCTGGGGCAGGATCATATTCAAGTGTAGGAATGCTGGTTGGTTTCTGGAGCTCTGGTCAGGATGGGATCCCAGATCCACCACAGTCAACATTTAGTGGTACTTATAAGTCAGTTCTTTATATGGGTCTATATCCCCAATCAAGACCCTTACTATTTTTAGACAAGGGTCTTGTCCCATATGGCACCCTGTGGTCTGTCATTCCCTGACTAACACGATGTTGACAGTAGCGGTGGCTACACACCAAGAACATCCTGAGAAATAATCACAAAACTGTTGGCTGATTACTCAAAAAATATATATCAATATTCATTTGTTTATGTAGTGTTTACAAATAAATCCATTATTTGCAGAAGTAGTTGTCATTGAATATGTAGAGAAGATAAAGAAGAGAAATGAAAACTAGACTATCACAAGTCAAGCGCCTATCTGATCTGTGTATCTGATGTCTGAATCTTAGGGTAACAGACAGCTGCAGAGTCTGCAGAGATGCAGATTCTGCCAAAGGGCACATCAAGGTCTTACAACAGTACACCATAGCACCCGTGCAGAACACAAAAATAGAAATGCAACATCTTATAGACCTGCAGACCCTGCAGGGTGAACACATACACATTCAGACCACAAGACAGCAAGGTCACAAAATGGGAGAGTGTCAAGCATAGAAACTTTTCATATGATCAGAAAGTGTGATCTGAATTCTAACTGATGATGGTGATGCTCAAAGAAGTTACTACAACAAAGAGAAATGTTAAGTCATTTAAGCTTTATTCACAAAACTGTACAGTGTAAAACTTTACACAAAATTCTTTTTTGGTTGTTTTTTTTTTTTTTTTGCTTTGGCAGTTAGTTATCAAAATCACGTAGCTGCCGGCTGATAGGCAGGCTGGGGGAAAATATGTGAACCAAGTTAGTTTTTTGGTTTGTTATGTTTCCTAAAACACACATTGTCATGCAAACACTACATGAGTAAATGTCCAAGATACTGGCACAGTATAAGGCACAATTCAACACTGTACATACTGTAGAATACTATGTCGTGTCAGTGACGCAACAATTGCTGCAGCTTGTAAATATCCCATCACAGTATATTTCATAATCAAAACACTCAATCTGTGGATCATGGGTTTGGCATTCACAAAATGAATCCCGGTAAAGGAATAGTTAATCTATTTCTTGGCCAGGAACAGTGTCTTGCTCAAGTCTTTCCTGGCGAATGTGTTCATTAGTGAGTTTGACAGGCGCTGGTAGGCTGATTGTTTAGCTGTGGACATTGCCAGGCTAGCTGTTTCTCCCTGTCTTCAGTCTTTATGATAAGCTAAGACAACCATCTCCTGGATCCAGCTTCATTTTGAACGTGGTATGAATCTTCTCATCTAGCTTTTTAGCAAGAAAAGCTAAATCAAACTTAAATCACACTGGTTTATCCTCTGTACAGCGACCTCTTCAGAACACGTCAGACTCAGCTAAACCACCATGTCTTTCTGAGTCGTGCTGCTAACATACTGTATACGCTGTTAGCTTACACTGCTCTCTACATTATTTCTATACTACCAATGTACAGCCATCCTCCTACTGCAGGCAGAGGTGGTTGTGGGCAGGTTTTTATCTCTTGGCTTAGCAAGTCAAACAGTTCATTTCATTTTCCACACAAAATGGCCAGATCATACCATTTGTTTCCCTCTTATTTGTATAAAGGCAAGATGTGATTCAAAAACAATTCCTAGCACCAGAGTAGGTGTAATTTTTATCTGAAGATCCTAAATATAAAATCCACATGAATGCGATAACCCAGTTCATCTCTTAATCCTCACTGAAAAGCCATGTGCTCAAAGCTACGCAGAGACTAGACTCCAGCATCTATACACTTGTCTCTGTTTTGTGGCTTATTTGAAAATACAACAAATTAAAATATTTGTAATGATTTGTACCAAAAAATAAATTTGAACAGATTGTCACTCTGATGTTATGTCCTCATGCACCCAAAGGTTGTTGTGTTTCCTGCTGCAAAAAGACAGTCTAGTGCAATTTAAATGACGTCCCCTTGTGATGAGCACAGCTCAGAATACTTCCAGTAGTAACAGAGTTCATAGAAAAACTGGAGAAAATAATAATGACGTAGTGATTATACAGCTGTCACTCAATGTAAGAAGAAGAAAAAACCCAAACAATAAACATTTAAACTACAGCTTCTTTTCAAATCATTATTTTCACCCAAATGTATGTATTACTGACTTTTCTAAAACTTAATTTTTGTTTTTCAAATTCAAAATACAAATTTAATAGATTTTTATATATATATCTATATATAGATAAATATATATAGATATATCTATATATAGATAGATATTCAGTCATGGGTATGTTCATATATCTCAATATGGTAGCAACAATTTTTAAATAGTCACAAGACAATTTGGACCATAAATATGCAAATTCACTTGCTGTGTGATAAAATAACTACCCCAGCTTTCTCTTTTTTTTTTATTTCCTCAAAGTCCGTTGACAGTTTTCTGTATGTGAAGGAAATGGCAGAACAACACAATGATGGACCCGTTTCCATACGACATGTAGAGGTGAGTTACTGGCACGTGTTGTAGATCTGGATCTGTTTGTTGATGTCATTGAGGATGGCTCTCATTTTGTCCTCCAAGCCGTCCAGCTGGCGAGCTTTCCCCTCCAACCTCCTCTGGTTCTCCTCATAGTTTTTTTCCAGCTCTGTGACAACAGGGAATATCAGGAGTGGTTACACAGGCCAGGCAATAGCATGTGGTGCTGGTGTAACATGGGCCTCTGGCATGTAACATTAAAAACCTTTAAATGGTTACTATATATATATATATAATTGCAAAATCTTATAATATAAAATTAATTCTTGCAATTTTATCTTTATTTGTTTGTTGTAAAGTGTTCATGTTTGTCATTTGTATCTCATATTTAGCGGTAGGTTACACAGTATCCAAGGTAATAATGCAACTATATAAAGTCTATTACCAGGGCAACAAGCCAGACCGGGCGGGCTTCTATCCCCCAGGTGAGTGTGTGACTGTCGAATGAAAATCTATAAATATTAATATATTAATGTAGATCCTATCTGAGAGAGAAAGTAACTATATTGACTTACAGAATGATTATCTATGTGTATTAATTCATATTTATAATGGTTACTGAACTGGGCTACAGTTCACTCATTAGTATTTTCAGTTTCCTATGATTATGGTTTTCTTTTGGACTGAATAGGTTTCTTTAGACCGGGCCTGTCTGTGTCTCCTCGTTGGAGTCAACCAGTCAACTGCCAGCTGTTCCTTCAACACTGTCTTCTACACAACGCCGAGACTGTAAGTATCGTCACTTTCAATGTTGTAAAAGAGATTTAATGGGTTTTCTCTCAAATTAAAAAAACCCATAATGTCCTTCCAACAAACACATCCACTCCCCTTAAACCTCTGTATCTGTCGTCATAGACACATAAACACACACACACAGAGACACACACAGATGTTATTAAGTACCTGCTAGTCTCTGCAGCTTGTTCTGGGCGTCTCTCAGTAGTTCCTTTGCTTCATCTCTGAGGCTCTCAGCCCTTTTCTTGGCGTCCTGCACAGCTTTGGCCTTGGTGTCAACCCGCTGCTGCACTTCATGGTATTTATCTGTCAGCTGGCCATCTAGAATCTGGGCATCAAGACAGGAAGAAGGGTTTTCTATAATAGCCGTATACACTTTTAATGAGACACACACACACACACACACACACACACACCTGCTTGGCTTCGTTGGCCTTGTCTCGTGCCATGGTGGCTGTCTCCTCGGCTCGGGCCGCTGCCATGCTGTTGTTGGCACGTTTGGTCTTCAGGGCATTGATCTCCTGTCCCAGTGTGCCCAGGCGATCCATGGCATCATTCAGGTCCTTCTCACTGTTGTACGTCTCTGACTCGATCTAAGGAGAGCACGCACAAGCAAAGTGTATTCTGATCCTTCTGAAACAACATCATTACAAGGTTTGTGTGGTCGTTATGAGCCAAGGTCTGATTTAAAAAAGAAAAGCAGAGTCCTAAATGTTGATGAAATAACCCGTGTGTGTGTGTGTGTGTTCTGAACGCACAGTATTTTAGAGGAATCACAGATTTTTTCACACCAAAAGTGAGTCAATCCCCATAGAAATAAACATGTTTACAGCCTGGTACAATAAATGGTTTTGGTCTCTAGAGCTAATTTCCTGCTCCAACTTCAACTTTTTATATAACTCTTAAATATATAATACTAGTAATAGTTATGCATGACTGAGGGTGAGGCCGCTTTGCGTGACACGTAGGTGAACGTATGAATTCACAGAAGTGTTGGCTCCACACACACTCCCCTCCTCTGCCCATTTTTGGATTACCCGGGAGGTCGAGATGGCGACAGCAGAGCAGCCCACTTTGAGCTTCAAAACCGCTCTTCGGAAACTTTATTTACAGTCTACGGGAGCAACCTAAGCTTTCATTTGAAAGGCAAAATACTACTGCTACTTTATGCTATTTTAACATCTGTTTTACTCTCCACCAACTCCTAAAGAAGATATCTGGCTCCGGGGATGGCAACAGGTTCGGTACATGATCACATAAAAACTGATGATTTATTTTTTGGTCCAGTGAAGAAAATGTTCTGCAAGAAAAATCTGACCACCTGGCCAGCTTCCAGAAAATCAGCAAAACAAAATGCAAATTAATGTGTTTCAATTAGTTAACAAATTAATTCATGTGAATATTAGGAGTTGAACACGTCAAGATAAACAGTTGCATAAACAGTTGTGGTGCCAATTTTCCAGTTGAGTGCCGTTAGACCTCTGCAGAAGAAGAGGTCATAATGAGATAAGGTAATTAAAAGCTCCAGTCAAACCTCAACTGATGAACAACAGTGTAGAAAATATGATGGAAACATTTCAGTTTTTTCTTTGATGTACTAATTCGAGAAAAGTTTCAGTCTCTTCATTGTTTCACACAGACAGATCTGATGTTTTCATCTGCTGCTATTTTTCTATGACTCTTAAGTAGATGCTTGTGAGTAGCTTCATCTACACCACAGTTTACTTACTAAAGACTCCCCCCCCCAAGTTTCACTCATTTCCACTCAAGGTTTTTAAAGCTAAAACTGAAAATGTATTGTACTGCGATGTGACTCTCGAACAGGGTGTTGTGTTTCAGGTTTTTGGGGGTTTACCTGTGCCAGTCGGGCCTCCGTCATGTCAATGTCAGCTTTGGCTTTTGCTATGGCCTTCTCTGCTGATGTCTGGGCAGTCTTAGCATCCACCAAGGCCTGTTTCACTGTCTCCGCTGTGGTCTTTACCCCCTCAGCACGATGCCTTAACAACAACAACACAGTGATAGGGAAAAGCTGTGACTTTAGAGAGGATGAAATAAACACAGAATACTCTATTCCTAAACCAATGCATTTGTTTTAAAGTCTGACTCTGTTCTAACTACCTCGCCCTCTTGGCGTCCAGCAGCAGTCGCTCGGCCTTGCGGACATCGTCCTGCGTCTGCTGCAGGATGGCGTCAACATTCGAAAGGCTGCGAACCCGCTCTTTGATTTCATCAGCAAGATGCCTGATCTGGAGGGGCGAGGCAGGGATGGAGAGCTCCAGAACGCGGTTCGCCACTGCCTCAATACTGTCTGGATCTGCTCCTTCCTCTGTGATGGATATGAGAAACAGATGGGTCGATTAACAGGCGACATGATTCTTACATGTGTTGTTAGTAAGCTTATGAAATGGAACTTATCGAAGACTCACGGGTGAGGAATTCTCTGATCTGTTTGATGAGGTCTCTCAGGTCATTGTTGGAGCGCTCCACTTTGTTTTTGGTGGCTGTGGCTTTGTCCAGAGCTGCCTGGGCTTTACCTTTGGCCTCCTCTGCCTTGGTCTTGGCCTCTGCCACCTGAAGGGAAAGGAGGAAATGCTGATAGAAGACACAAAGGGCTAACAGATGGAACTCATTCACCATAGCTGCTATCTTATCTTCTCTTCACCTTTAGTTACTTAACAGTCCAAAGAAGATTTTTTTATTGTGTCCTTTTTCACTCAAATCTATTTTGTCTAAGTGCACATATTTCCCAGAATGCAGCTGCACTGCTATATATCTGAAACAGCTGAAGTCTAAAAGTCTAACTGTTCTCAGTGGCTGTAGCACATACCTTAGTAAAGAGTCCCTCCACCTCTCCCATAGCTTTGTTCAGCTCCTTCTCTGCGTGTCTGGCTCTCTCCAGCGCATTGTCAGCTACTGCCACAGCGCCATTGCAGTTCAGGCCTCCGCAGTGACGGTTTCCCTCATCGTCACGGCAACCCGCACCCCCACAAGGGCTTTCGGCACAGGGAGCATCACCCGGGGCACCACACACCTGTTGGGACAGGTATACATGTGGTAGTATTTGTGTGGATATTATAAGCATTATTTATAATCACTCCTCTGCTGTCCTCACAACTCCACAATGCGACTTTTTCTCATCTGTCCGTCAATTTAACCACTTCTGTAATTACTTCAGTGCAAGTTCTTGGTGGCAAATCTAATCTCTGTATACATGGATCACATCATATTTCAATCGGGCTGCTACAAAGATTAAAGAATAAGATCAAACCTTCTCATTGATCTTCTTCATGTCCAGGCCCTGTGCCTTGGTGTTCAGGTCTCCCAGCGCACGTTTGTTGGCTGCGTTTTTACGGTTGAAGTCGTCCTTCTTGGCGTTGATAAGGCGCTCGGTGCGGCGGCGGGTGTCCGCTGATTGACTGACTGTGCTGGGCCTGGTGGTTGTTGATTCGTTGGCACGCCGCTCAGCATCACAAGACTTGTTGTAGGAGCTACGGATGCTGTCATACGCACCTGGAGGAGGGGGGGGGGGGCAGAGACAAGTACATTTTCAAGTGCTGCATCGACTCAAAGAAATGTTGGAGTAAGTCTGAGGATTGTTCGGGACTATGGATTCTTGACTCAGGGATGGAAATAGGAAGACAAAGTTTAAATGAAATGAAACTATGGGCAGTTAAAGGAAACAACTCTATACTCCCCGTCCTCTCACCTAGGAAGTTGGAGTTCTTGAGGATATCCAGCTGGCGGTGTAGCTGCTCTGAAGTGAGGTTTAGTTCTTTAGCCTCTCTCTCCAGAGCACTCAGCTCCTTGCTTGCCTCAGAGTTGCTGTCCTGTACGATGGTTAGGTCTCCTTCCAGGCGGTTCAGGGTGTCAGTGGTATCACTGATCTGCGCTCTGTGGGACGAGACAAGCAGTCGTTGGGGAATCTAAACCGTGACACTGATATGATTGAAAATTCACTTTCTGGGACAAAACTGAATAAATCTGTGGACAGAGAAAATGACTGGAGATGAATATGTTTACATAGAGAACAGTTAAAATGCAGTGGAATGTAACAGCCTGTACCTAAGATCTTCAATAAGCTCCATTAGGGTAGCTACGGCTGCAGCGGTGGCATTGCGTGCGTTAACAATTCCCTGAGCTTGTGCCAGTTTCTCCTCCAGGTCTCTGAAGGCCTTTTCATAGGCCCCAGTAAGCCCAGTGGTCTGAATCTCATGGGCACGCTCTGCCAGAGCCTTGGTACGCACTGCCAGGTCCTGGAAATGAGACAACAATGTGAAAAGTAAGATTATAAACTGACCTATTCAGTATTTCACATGTTCTGCTGCTGTTATCCACTTTTATCCTCTCCAGCAAGTTCCTTTAACACGTGCACAGTATGTGGATGAAAGTTTTGAATTGAACTATGTTTAGAGGATGGTGTGGCAAATATTGCGGAGTGCCAGACATGACAGCAAAAGCAATTGGGAAAAATAAAAAATAAAAGGAATAAAATAAAACAAACATAAATAACATTTGACATATATATATATATATATGTAAAATATATATATGTAAAACAATTTTTTATATATATATATATATATATATATACAGTATATAAATAAATAAATAAAATAATAAATTTAAATGCTTATAACTATTCTTTTATTTTTGTCTTACTATTCGTATATTTTATTTATTCCTCATTATATTTCCACATTTATTTTCTTATTCTTTTACAGATGTATTATGTTTTATGGCATTCCTATAACTCAATAAAGATTACACCCTCTGTTCTCAACCGCACCTGCACAATGCGATCCCAGTCCCCAAAGCACTGGTGACAGGGCTGACAGTTGGGGAACTGGCCAGAGAAGCCTCTGGCACACTGATCACAGCGAACACCTGACACCCCCTGCTGGCAAACGCAGTGGCCCGTCACGCGGTTGCACTGAGAGGTTTCAATGCCACGCCAGTCACAGTCACAAGCTGGAGGGGGCAAAAAAACAGAAGGAGGGAGCGTACAGTGAATGTGGAACAAAGGGACCTTGTTTATAATGAAATAAAAATCAAATTTGTTTGCACTTCTATGTCAGTGTGAAATGCAAAAAAGTGTGTGTGTCTTTTATTGATTATAATGCCACTGTAAGGCCACAGTTGTTGTCAGTTTCACTAAAAACCTCATGGATTTCACTGTGCAGTCGTGTTACTGTTCTCAGCAGACGTTTTCCATGCAAACCTAAATTGTAAATACATATAGTACATCATAAATCTAATATTTCAAGTGATCCCAAGGTTGTTGTACTGGGTTTACTGGGTTTAAGTGTTTGTTGAAATAAGCCTCTTTGCATACAATGCTTTTTGCACTGTTCAGAGATGAGCTGTCTGCAACCATCTCTCTGCCCGAGCAGCAAGAGCGCTTCACATTTGCATTGAATCCTGTCATCTTTTCTTTATGTTCATAACATCGACTGTACCATGTCCTAAAAACATGCGAGTCTTGATGTTTCTAACCTCTGCACTGTGTCCTGGGGTCTCCCCAGTAGTTCTCCTGACAGTCTGTGCAGGTCTTCCCTCCAAAGCCGTCTCGACATTGACACTGGCCGGTAAACTGCAAGATAGAGAGTGAGAAAATCACATCAGTTCTGTTTGTGTCAATCAGGATTTGTACGTATTCACAAACTGAATACAATGTGTTCAGAGGACCAACAGTCCCATACCTCATTACATGAGGAGGTGACAGAGTTGTTGGGGTCGCACCCACAGGATTCACAGCCCCTCCCGCTGGCCATGTTCCAGTGGTTGGGGGCGCAGTGGTCACATGTCAGACCTATGACGTGTGGCAGACACTGGCACTGGCCTGTGGCGCGCTGGCACACACAGTCCTCACGCTCCATACACTGGCTGCGTTCAGTACCCAGGAAGTTACATGTGCACTCTGAGGGGCAAAAAAAAATACATGCCATCATCATGATACAATATTAACATGTAAGTCACTGCTTTATCTTTTTGTAGACATTTTTCGTGGAACATGTTACTCACTCCTGCAGTTGCGTCGGGAAGCATCCCCGAAGTAACCGCTCTTGCAGATGCCACAGTTGGGGCCTTCGGTGTTGTAGAGGCACTTCCTGCACTCTCCAGTCTGCCTGTCGCATGCATCGACGTCTGACATGTCTATGTTGTTGTTGCACTGGCACGGCTGGCAGCGCCCTCCAGGCTGGGAGGGGTTGCCATAATAACCCGGGGCACATTCGTCACATCGAGCACCTATGTTTGGGGGGGGGGGGAAAGCAAATAGAAAAGAGCGTAAAAAGTTATAGTGAGAACAGAGCAGTGGAACGAGGTATGATAACAGCATAACTACTTTTATTTTAATTGAAATATATCTGTAATAAGAACAGGTGAAGTGTACAAAACAGCAGGAAGCAGGAAGTGTGAATTTACAGCAGTAGACTCAACAGGTACTCAAAAGTAATGAGGCCCCTCCTCATACAACAAGATTTAGCCAAATCCCAGACTGGGACTTAAATGTTTTTAATGGACATGTCCATTGAAAAAAAACATGTGTGTCCAAGACTTGGCTTAAACCATCTCTGCAAAGCGTGAACATTATTATATTAATACAGTATGTTGCTAAAAATCAGTTTGTTACTCATCATCACTCAGTGAGGTTTGATTAACCAGCTCTCATTAGTTAACTGTGTTTGCCATCACACCCTCAGTGGATTATATGTAACACGTTATTATATACTACATGATAACAGACTATTAGTCAGCAGTCATTTAAATTTCAAGTTTTTGACATGAGGAAACTCCACAGAGACCAACGTAAGCATTACAGACACCTCCTGGTTTACACAATATTATCCCACGCTGTTTGTGCATTATGTTTGGCTGCATCTGCACTGCACTACTGCTTACACACACACATATACACATATGGTATATATGGTACATATTTGGCTCTAGCAGGAATAGGAGGAAGTTAGAGATAGAAAGAATGAGAAGGTGGAGGGAGGTAAAGCAAAGAGCAAAGGTTGAAGTACAGGGACAATTCAAAAAAAGGGAGAGTTGAATGGAGGGCAGGATGGAAAGAGAAGGAGCAAAGGGAATTTTTCAGGTGAACTACATCCAGTTTCCTGTACTTTTGAAAGTCAGCGCCTGGTTGCTTAATCTAACAGACAGGTCAAAATGATACAGTGAAGACCTGAGGGTCAGTGGCATCCATTGTGCCTCATCTGAAAAGAAGCCAGACTGGATAAAGAAGTGACATCAGTGTGAAGGTCTCGGCTGTGAATATATCAGTATATATATCTATTCTATGAACTGAGCTCTCAACCACACCTTCAGATAAAGATGAACAGACCTGGTTCAAATCTTGTTTTGAAATCATTTAACCACTTGTAAAACCATTTTCATATCATTTTATGGACACTTACTTCACCCTTTAGTGTCATGTAAAACACAGAGAGTCACAGAGAGGCATGTCATTTGAAAATGTTTGACATTATGGGCAGGAGTGCACTGTGGCACAGCACCGCTGACGGGAGAGGTGCTGAAGCCATGCATGAGTAGGATCGGTAAAGTGGAGGGTTGGTGGAAAATGGAGAGGGAGGGGGAGGAGGAGGAGGAGGAGGAGGGGAAGGGACTGGGGTCAACCATAATTACTCACGCTTAAAAATGGTCACCCCGGAGCGTTTAACAATCCCTGCGACAGTAATACAGGGGAGGGAGGAAATAACACAGGTTACCATTCACCAGAGCCTGCTGACAAAAATCATTCTTACCTCATTTGAGTTGCATCCTTTATAAGATTGGAGTTATCAACCACTGAGATTATCTTTACTGTAACATCAGCTAAAACAAAGTGAGGTGAAATGTCATTATTTGCTTTTTCTTTTTTTTATATATAAAATCTATCTTTCAGCTTTAAGTGAGGCCTGTGGTGCCACATCACAGAAACAATTCTTTGACTCCAATAAGGTTTTGTATTAAATGTTTGAGAGCTCAAACACTGAAACAATGTGCATCATCAAGAGTAGCACCATGAAGCAGCATTCTCATGCATCTGTTCAGGTGTGGAAGAGGTTTGACGGGTTTTCAACGGGTCACTGGTTCTGGAGAAAATCAATCAGTTATCAGCGTCTCCTGCTGATGATGAACAGGGGAAACATCAAGCATCGGTGGAACAGGAAAGAAAGATGGAGATAATAGAAACAGAGAAATATTACAATGATAATCTGAAGTTTACCTGTGTAGCCCTGGTTACAGTTGCAGATAATTTGTCTGTTACGGTTGTCCTGGTAACAAGATGCAGCAAAGTGACGGCCACTGTTGGGCCCGTCCGGACAGGGGCACGGACGACATTGACCGCTGGATGCTATGCCCAGAATTGGATTACCATAGTAACCATTGGCACACCTACAGAGATGACAAATGAGTTAGCTCAGGTAAACAGCACAGTTACAGGTGATACTGTTTTAACTGAGTAATACTCAAGTGTTAGTTTTCTCATATCCATATAGCTTAAAAATGAGTCAACTAACACCTGTCTAAAAACTTTCAAAGTTTCAAAGTTGGTTGAAAGAAAATGTTATACTAAGATTACACTTTTTTTATCACGGTAAAAAAGTCAATTTAAGTACAGTACAATAATGTTAATGTGTATAAATGCCTAATTGGCAAGGAAACAGTTTATTTACTGATGTTTGAGTGATGATTTCAAATGTACAGGATCTAAAAGTTGGAACAGAACCAGATGATGTGAGAAACAAATTAATATTTGTATAATGAGTAACACCTTCTTAAATTAACTCTGCATGTCACAAGTTTCACTTAAATCTGTATGTAGCAGAAGATCAGCAGCCTGTGCTGTTATTGTGATGCTCCAGTTCTACACAAAACATGTATTTATCTCATCTCATGTGTGTTATGTGTATGTTGTTTATTACAGAACTAACATACACATAACACATAACACATTAACCAAACCAAACCAGTATCTTATGTTTACACATGATCCCATGCAGCTCCATCAGCCTCATACTTCGATCGTCACCTGTCACACTTGTCTCCTCCTGTGTTGTCCCTGCAGTTGATGCAGGCTCCATTCCTCTGGTCACACTGGTCTGCGTGTCCATTACACTGGCACGGCCGGCAGCTGGGGAAGCCCCAGTGACCCGCCTGGCATCCGTCGCAGCGCTGACCAAACGCTCCCGGACGGCACTGGCACTGACCAGTGAACTTGTCACAGAGTCGAGTCACAGATCCCTCCAAGCTGCAACCGCAGGCTGGACAGACGGAGGTTTAGGAAGGAGGAGAGGATGATGGGAGGAGATGAAGTGAAGACGCGAAGGAATCAAAGGGAGAAAAAGGAAAGAGGGATAGAAAATAAATACTGAATGAATGAATTTTTACAAATGAATTTTAATTCATTTTGAACTTGCTGTTGTGCACTGAGAGACAGTAGAGGGCGCCAGAAGCGTAGATGCTAACTCATCAAAATGAACGCACATGACTGAATATGGAAACTCAGCATACTCCTCAGACTTATGTTGGTAACAGAATTAAAGATAAAATGAGAGAATAAAATATAAGAATAAAACGGAGCATAAATAGTCACATTTGAGCTCCAAGAATTCTGTGAAATTGCTTTATTAGTTTTGCATGTCTGAACCTTAGCAAAGGCCTTACTGAGACCTTCCATGGAGGGTTTAAACATACGAAGGAAAAAACAAATAAACTGAGTGTAAAAATATGGAAAGTGTTGTTATGTTACATCAAACAATATGCAACCTAAACAGGTCTTGGTTTCAAGTGAAACTGAAAAGGCGCCGAGTTTTAAAACTACAGCTGTATCTGGGTTTCTCACCCACGCAGCCTGAAGGCCCAAAGCCGTAAGTTCCCGGAGCACACTGGTCACAGCGTCGGCCAATCACATTGGGCTTGCAGCGACACTGACCCCCGCGGACGTCACACATGGAGCTGACGGACCCCTGAGGGTCGCAATTACAAGCTGGAGGAAGACAGAGAAAAACAGGCATCAAGTCACTGAAACCTAACACCTGTGAACATCCTGCACATTGACACCGTCCAGGAACCAAGAAAGGCTGACGACTGAAAATATCTGTATGAATAATTACTATTACCTTCACAGCTTAAAGTCAAACTGAAATTTCAATTCTCCTCACTGTTTGTGTAAGAAAATATATTGTGCCTAGTTTTAAATGTGTCGATTGTAATTGTGGAGGAAGCATCTAAACCTTAAGCCTCTTAAACTGAGACCCAGTGTTGTTAAGAAACATGCTACCAACATCTGTGCTATGCTATTGGCTGCACTACTGTATGTCCAGGAACACTGAGACATTTTCAACAATTTTCAACCATTCCCCAGAGGTGTTACTAACTATTGGTCCTGCATTATACAAAGGAGGGAGTCCAGCTAGCATTAGCTCCTTCATGTCTTTCATGGGTCTGGTTGTGGTGACAGTAAACGACCAGACCGTTAAAACTCACAGTGTGTGTTTCTGTAACCACAGCACTCCATACATTACTCCATGACTTGAATCATGACATGGACTAACCTACAGAGTGCTGATGGGGCTCAGCTTTTAAGAGCCTCTGTTTGAATCGAAGAACTGTTTATCAGTGTGGAACTTATCTTTCTGGCTCCAGGTAAATTACTAACAGTCTTTGCTGAGTGTTTGAAACACAATAAATAAATAAATAAATACCATATCTTCTAATATCAAGTTGATGCTAATGCAGAGGAGAAAAGCATCAGTGAACAAATACATGAAAAAAAATATAATTAATAATGTTAACTTCACTGATCCCATAAACCTCTAACGGTAGTCAGACGTCAGGGAAAGGATCATGTGACCCTGCAGCCTCCTGCGCTGTAAACAACACAAACATCATTCAGAAGCACTTTAATAAGCCCTTTTCTCACTCACGCAGAGCGCCGTCATTTATGATGGCTGACATGCTGGTGATTAGCTTGGAACAGGTGTCACTCATCAGTGGGCGGGTCACACTCTTCGCCCCCTCGTGGCAGCGGTATCGCTCGTAGGTCTGTCTCCTGGTGTTCGAGGCCGGATCGCCTGCGTTGAACATCTCCATGGAGGAGTGACGTGGCATCAAGGCGATCTGGAGAAGAACCACAGGGATTTATGAAAAGGAGAGGAGGGAAATAAATATGTGTGTGACTACAAACTACAATTTATTCGTGACTCAGATGGAAAATGAATCTCACTGAGTCCACAAGGACGATAGCGTTGGCCGCTCCGTTGAGGATACTGTTGGCATCCTGATAGCGTGTGAACTCAAAGCGCAGGCTGTAAGTCACACCTCTCTCCAGACACACAGGCTGATGAGGGACCACAAACCTGGGGCGAACAGAATCAGCACACAGTTTATATTCAGTGATTGTGCACAGTATGTTTGAGTGTGTGTTTGAGCCACAGACCTTGCTCCAGCTGGCAGCGAGACAGTGAGTCTGTCATCATCTGGGATGGTGTTTCCACAGGGGCTGCTGGTAGGAATTGGTCCTGGACGAATCACTGTTATCCGCACCTCCTCCCAGTCCCGTGGCATCTGGACAATATCAGTGTTGTATGGTTAATATGCGGCCAAAAGCTACTGATCATGAAATATGAGTATGAAAAGAGGAAGAGGACAATTACAAAGTAATGGCTGCCTGAACTGAAAATAGGAAGTCTATTTCCTGAAAATATATATTATATCTCTACAAAGAGAAGGGTAAAAAGTTGTGGTTTTATGTTTGCATGTAAGGATTATGTTGGTGACTTTCTGGAGTCTTGTTGTCACAGGCAGCTAACGGAGAGTCACTGATCCAGGATAAGAAATTCAGTCAACAAGCTCCTGGAAAAGATATGGGTGGTATCTATCTGCTCATCTAATTCCCAGCAAGAGAAAGAATAAACATATTTCACAAGACTCTCAACGATTCCTTTCAGTGATTCATTTCGATCTGAGGACTCTACCACCAGCAGAGATAATAAACGCACACACCTGCGCCTCGTAGCGAACAAGCAAGTCATATTCCATGGAGAAGGGGATGTCACTGATGAGGAACTCCAGAGTGCCACCCTCAGGCACCCGGGCGAACCCAAGGCCCGTCCAGGAGGCGGGGCGACCCGCCTGGTGCTCCCTGGTCTCCAGCATACAACCCTGAGATATATTTTTAATTCATTAATTTATAATTATGTCTCCATACTTAAGCCCAATGTGTGTTGATAGAGAATACATGATGGCTCACCTGTCCCATTTTGGCCAACTCAGCCTCATAGAGGAAGTGATCCAGAGCCATGAAGTAATATCCGGACTCCACCTGTGTACACTGGCGTCCTGTCATGTGACTGCGGCAGCGACACTGACCGCTCTCCATGGAGCAGCTGCAGAGAAGACAAATCATTTCGTTATGTTACTGCTACAGTTTATATTATATGGCTTAGCTGCCACTGACGGATGCTTCACCTAATCAGTGATGTAAACAATCACTGTTCCACTTTCTTTTACATGTAAATCCCTTCTGAATCTGAGGTTGAAGTTGTGACTTAAAACATTGCTTCCTTATAACAAGAATAAAAATCTACAGCCATGCTAAATGCTAACATCAACCTGCTAATATGCTACACAGTGACGATGCTAACAAACTGATGATCTCTCCAAGTTCATCATTTCATTTAGCATGTTAGCATGCTAACACTGGATCATATTACTGCTGTAAAGGAAAAGTGCAGCTGAAGCTGATGGAACTGTCTTTAGTTTTTCAGGTATTTGGTAGATTCTGACCTGATGATGGCGCTAGATGAAAAGTGAAGGGAAGACTAGAGTCATTACAGTTCATCTTACAGTAGAATAGATAGAATAGAAAAGAGGAGAATGCCTTTAATGTCACAGCTGTGCGATATAAAATCAACAGGCAGCAGAAACATTTGCACAGCATATTTATATTTATATATAAGACTACACACAAAATATATAGTAAAGTATAAAATGGATGAATATAAGCATGAATATAAAAACAATATGACTATTTAATGCAGACCTGAATACACACACACACACACACACACACACACACACACACACACACACACACACACACACACACACACACACGCTGTTTATGAAGTGGTAATAAATGGTAGAGTATGATATGAGATGGTTCAGTCTGGATTAAAATAGTGGACTGACCGACAGACCTGTGTTGCTGTTATCATTATGACAGGGTGACTGATGCATGGTGTCTGAATTTAGGGAACCGAAGATGAATTAAACTTTATCAAGAGGTTTAACAAATTACTGCTCCAAGAATAAAGATGGAGGCCAATGAATCTGAATGTACAAAGCTGCAGCTGCTACTTCGGGGACAGTAATCAGTTTCTGAATGTTGTGTCTTAAAGACAAAAACCTCTGTGTAATCTAATTTGTAACAGCCTCGCACTTGATTTATGACTCCGGGCTGAAGCTACAGCGCCACTCACTGATTGTCCAGCGCTCCTCCGATGTCACACTCGCAGCCTCTGCAGCCGTTCAGGTCGTGGCTCAGCGCCCAGTGCTCCGGCTAGAAACGCAGAGGGACAGAGAGAGGACGGGGTGATTGACAGGCAGACAGACAGACACAGGAGGACAGAACAACCACCCAACAGACAGACAGACCGTTAGCTCCAGACAGACATGATGCATCACCCTCCATGCTATTAAAGACTGAGGGGAACTTCCACAGCAGTTTGACTGTCATGACTGTGTGTGAGTCACACATACTGTATCCAGCTCTCTTATCCAATAAATCAACATTCATAGCTTTAGGTCATGTCATTACTGCCCCCTTCCCTTCAGCTCACTTTGGGTGCGATTGTCTTTTTCAAAAAGAGCTGACTTGACAACTTGGATTTTATTGTAGTCAGCATTTCGCTTTTTATCTTAACTGTGTTTTGGCTGATGTGTTTTTTACTTTTGCTAAATTTTGTGGTTTCTTCATTAGTATTATATCGGATTCTGTATCACATCCATCTGCTGTGATACTGGTCTGGCTTTTTCTCACCAGTCTGTTAGGCTTGAAAGCTATTTGGAACACTAACATGAGAAACGCTGTAATGACATTAAATGTACATTTATTCTGGTTATATTGCTTCAGTAGGATTTGTTGACATTATTGTTTCTAAAATGAGGCTTCACACGGACGATAGGATCCGCTTTCGGACCACGTCCAGGCCCTGACCATTTTAGGCCTGCTGTAACCCACACCAACCGGACAAGCCTCAAATCCCTGGGTTAAATTTAGACACAGAGCCCAGGAAGGAGCTCACATTCCTGCCTACACTATTCCTGGCTGAGTAGGTTTGGGACAAGAGGTTGAATTATAGCAGGAAGCTTCACCACCTCACATCCCGGGCTGCTGCTGGGCAGAGGGGGCGAGAGATAAACAGGAGAAAGAGACAGAGTGTGGAGTGCAAAGTAGGCCAAGCAGACTTAAGAAATCAGATTCAATGCTTATGTTCAACTTGAATTGTATCAAACACAGGATGATAAAGTGACTGAGGTAGTCAAAAAAAAAAAAAAAAAAAGAGAGATGAACAGGCCAAATCTTCAAGCCAGAAAAGAAAAGTCTTACCAGACACTGGTCACAGCTGCGTCCGGTGACGAGACGCTTGCAGAAGCAGTCTCCACTGACTGGGTCGCACTGGGAGCTACCTGACACAGTTCCTCTGTGGTCACACCAGCAAGCTGGAGGGTGGAGGATAACAATAAATAAATCATTCAAAAACAAACTTAAACGAAACCTAAAATCAAATTATTACAAAGCCTAGTAGGCAAGAGCCTGATCTCCACTGAGGATGTGGGGGACATATCCCCCCTCAGAGGAGATAACCTGATCAAAATGTTCATGTGCTCGCTTGTGCTGCCTTCAGTATTACCATGCACTCACATTAATTAAACTTTATGAGCAGTAACGAGTCATTTGCAGACATTTTCCTGCCCCGTGTTTCAACTCTCAGGCAACACAATCTGCACAAACTTACGTTACTGTTCTTATTTTTGGAGAATTAAATGAACAGCGGTCCAAGATAATGCAGTAAAGGACAGTACTCTTTGTAGTAAAGATGAAAATATGACATTATTTATTCAGTGAAGGGTTTTATTGTTGAGGTTGGAAATAGTAGTTTGAATTTTTTGGTCAAACATTTTTTATAAAACATTAAAACATAATTTCACATGAAGTATCAGGTGTCTATATACAGCATTTGTTGTATACTACCAGTATGATAACCAGTTTCAAAATAAACTGTTATTTGATGGGTGATATGAATGTATATAAAAATAGCTGAAGAAGCTCTGACATGAAACCTTCACCCCTGCGAGTAAGCAACTAAACATCATCTCATAGTGGACAAACTGGGTCTTTACAACACTCCTATGTTTGTGTGAGCTCGAACAGAGAATGCACTCACGTTGGCAGCCCTGGGGGTTTTCAGCGCTCAGGCCAAAGAAGCCGGTTTTACACTTGTCGCAGCGCGGCCCCTCCACGTTGGCCTTGCAACGACACTGACCTCCCACCATGCCGAGGGAAGGGTCGGTGTGGCTGTCGCACATCCCCCCGTTCTGAGAACCATCCGGGTCACAGTCGCAAGCTACGGGACAGACAGGCAGGGGGCAAGTTTTACTGCGTTAGTTAGAGGTTAATAATTCATACTGACACTTCAGTTTGTTGTGAGTTACTGTTACGAATGAAGTATTGGAATATAATTTTACCACAAACACACACACTCACCGACACACACTCGTGGGTCCCTTATATCTTTGATGGGGTCTTTGTAGTAGAAAGGTTTACACATCTCACAGTTGCGTCCCATGGTGTTGTGCAGACATTCATCGCACACTCCTCCGCTGACGTTACCCGTGGCCAAATACACCGCCATGTCAAAGTGACACTGGGTCGAGTGGCTGTTGCAGTTACACTCTACAAAACACATTATTGTTTCAAACAGATGAGTCTTTGCTGACGTTCTGTTATTCTGTTTTTTTTTTCTTCTCTCACTTTCTCCAAGTGTTTACTGTCCACAGGCATATGGGTCCGCGCCAAAGTGTCAGCCACTGTGCTCGGTAGTTACATTAGTCTGCTCACAAATAATCAATTAAAAAGCAGCAGTTTATGGGCCTTTTTTTGCATCAGTATTAACTATCTTCAGAGATAAAGCTCTGATGTTTTTGCACAACACTTGACGCCCCCTGTGCTTCCTCTGCTGTACTCACTCTTGCAGGCGTTGGTGTTGCGTCCCTCAGCCGGTCTCCAGGGCAGGTCATTGTAAAAGTCATCGCATTGCTCACAGTTCAAACCGTTGGTGTTATGGTTACACACACACCTGCCGTGAACCTTACAGAGAGATGAGAAGGAGGGAGAGTTACGGTAATCTATATGTGAGAGCTTTAAAATTATGCGGGTAAATTACAGAGGGAAAACTGTGCTAATTAAAAGGTCTATACTGTGAATGATTCTCATCACTCACCATTCCTTCTATATCATCCCTGATGCCATCGATGGGGGCACACTCCGAGGCGTGGCCGTAGCAAAAGCAGTTTCCACGTACGACGAGCTCATATATGGCGTAGTAATACTTCTCCTTTATTTCTGCTCTTGGGTCCAGCAGGTTGTCTCCTAGCGTGTGAAGTTTGGTGAAGTTCACCCTCAAGTTGGTGATCTTCAGCTGGTCTGGTGGGAAGAAGAGAAGAGGGTCGGATGAGAGAAACAGGAAGGCATGGTTCAGGAGGGGCGGTTTAAATCCTGATGACATGTTAAATATTTTCACCTTATGAGCAGTTTTACCATTTCATAAGGTAGGAAGGTGCACAGCAATTGAAGATTAGCATTTTTAAAACAGAATCTATTAATCAACTTTTATATATAAAAATCTTTGGAAAACAACCTGTCTAAGATAGTTGCACATGCCTGTACCAGACCAGTAACCAGGCATAAACAAGATTAAAGATAGATTCAAAGCATCAGCAGTCTGAGTCACACAAATCAAGTCTTTTTAGTACAAACATTGTGTTACTATCCCACCAGCATGACTTTTCTCCTGTCCATGGAAGCACAAAGAGGGAATTTCATACTGAAAAGACTCAACTTAGAGGATCACACTTAATTTGATTAATTCACACGGATGAGGCTTCATTCATGCTTCACAATCACTGACTCATTTATCATCTGTGTGGCCACCAGCTCAGGAGTAACATCCAATCACATTCACACTCATATTAACTATGTACTTTTGATTTAATAGAAATATTTAATGCTCATATATGTGTTATATGTGTTATTAAAGGGCAGAATACTCAGATTAGATAGCAGATTTTCAGACAGCTTCTCAAAGAGAAAGTAGAGCCTTTACCATTTGCTATAAATGGTCAGTTCTTGAACATAAGTGCCCCTGACTGAACTGAACACTCTCTTCTTACGTCCAACTAAGGACATTTGTTACTTTCAAGTACATTTCCAGAAGATGGGAAATCGGAAAATGATGGATAGTAATGGATTGTGGTGTTGAAATGGTTCTTACTACACAAAGTTAACATGGATGGAACATCTGCTGCTGTTACAGTCCAGCTGTTCACCAGAAGCCCTCAACACACACACACACACACACACACACACACATAATTCTGGGGACATTACATAGACTTACATAACCCTACCTAACCATTACCCGACCCTTAACAACTGACCCAAAAATTAAGCTTTTTCCTGATTGAGGACACAGCTTTTATCTCCAGTTGAATAAACTGAAATATGTCCCCAAAAGTAGCCCACAACACACACACACAGAAACACACCCACACACTTACAAACTAATGCATATGTTGGCCGAGCTAACATACATGCATGTCTCTTCCCGAGGGCCCTCAGGAGGAAGAAATGACTTCCAGTAACAATACCAGGAACCAATACTCCTGACTTCAAAAAGCTCATATCGTGGAAAACAAGTCTACTCTTTGGATTAGTAAATGATGCAGAAAATTGCACTGTAATTTTAGCATGAATTCATATCACTATCATTATCAACATGATTATATATGATGATTATGAACATTCATAATCAGCATAGCATCATCAACTCCAGTCTGCACTGAGTTTGTTTTCCAAACTGTTCATCCCCACAAAAAAAGAAAAGAAAAAAGAAAATATCTCAGCCATGACCTGCATTTAAAAACTTTTAGCTTCCTGAGTTTCCAGTCATTTTTCACTTCCTGTGGAGTTGAAGCAGCAGCGTTACAATGAGATGGATGAAATGGTTCATGGAAGGATTCCTTTTCTCCCAAATTCTGACCCTCTAACTGCACCCCACTGACTTTATCTGCAGTAATAAAATCCCTCTCTGACAGACGAGAGCTAATCCAGCTTCACCACACTATGACAGTGTCTGTTTCTCCTCCTGTAGTAACAGCAGACTGGAGAACAGTCCTGCAGATCCCTTAGCAGCGACTGCAGCAGCCAAACAGCAGCTTTCAGCAGGCCAAGGGCTGAAACTGAGACTGGCATATATTACCAGCTCTGTCTAACTGAACACATACAGAGGGCTGAGGGTAGTGGATTGCACAGAGTCTTGTTTAAAAGTTTTATATAGATTTGTGAAATCAGTGCATTTGATTGTAATGAATAAAGAGACTTCTAGAAAACCAAAAACAAGAGTCTGTGAGGCTGTGGTGCTAAATGCTAACACCACATGTTGATGTTTAGCAGCTACACTGTTCAGTATATAAATGTCAAAATATCGTAGATAAAATTATTACTAATTTATAACATGACTGACAGTCTACAGCTATGCTAGCAGCAATGCTTTCAGTTAATGCTTATATCAGCAAGCTAACATTTTCGTGACAATGCTAACATGCTGATGATTTGCAGGTAATATTTAGCAAGTTCACCGTCTTGGCTCTGCATTTAGCATGCTAGCATTTGCTAATTAGCAAAAAAACACAACCTGTTATTTAGTAATAAACCAAAGTACTGGATAAATGAAATGTTGACTTAATGTCAGTGCAGGAGGAAAAATCAAAGGATCAGAGGATTAGGATTCATCCTCTAAGCACCATGAATATCTGACAAACCAACATTAAGGCAAGTTGCAAGCATGGCTGAAAACGCCTTTAAAAACTGAGTTCACATTTTGACCTATTGACCATATTTTACTCTGTTATTATAAGAGGAAATTTTACTGAAATTTTCTTTTTCCACTAGTGTTTTCTGAATCAAGGACTCCTTCAGAGCATGATTATAAAAGAATATTTAGAAGTATAGTTAATGGAGCTCTGCTGCAGGTTGTAGCTAATCTGTAGCTGGTTGGTTGTATATGAAATGCAACCAAGTTTCAGAAATGCTGGGACTAAGATAGAAATCTTAGAAAAGTTTGTTGTAACACAGAGAGGCAGTCAGACAGAAAGTCTTTAGGACCTTTTGTTCTCCACTGACACTGAGTCTGTGTATTATCTCCCAAAGATGGTTAAGGTTAGAGCCAGCGTGGGGATTGGGGGTTATGGTCTGCCAATCAAGGAGGCAGAATATGTACTGAGAGGAAGTTTGCCTGGAAGGTTAAACTCAGGGCAAAAAGTAACCTATTCTCACTCAAGTGATGTAGAAACAAACAAACAAAAAAAGCTACCCAAGCACAACTACATTGGATGGTGATTCATTGTCTTGACAACAGCAGCAAGTAAATACGGACAGTTCAGCTGTGAGGGGTCAGAGGTCGACATGTGGGTCAGTTACATCAAGATATTTAACGAGAGAACAAGTCAACCTCTGCTGTTGCACTGGAAACCAAGCTCGGGCTTCTGGGAAAAGCTCTCAAGTGCTGCCAGTCTAAACACGAGGGCCAGGACAGCGAGGCTGTGTGGGAGAGAAACAGCTGCTTTTCACATCTCTCCATGCCTTCCACACAGCAGGACCATGTTTCACACCCCAGAGAGACAGGCTGTTGCAGTCCGTAATGTGTCACAGCTGGATAACAAGAGCTAACTGTGCCTGCTGGAGTTGGAGTTAAGGTGACAAATGTGAATATAACTCACAAAAGGCTAGAGTTTTCTGAGGAAAACGTTTTGATTAAGTTTTGATATTTGTGTAGGATTTTTTTCTATATTATGGCTCAGTTTTTACCACTATAACTATGATGTATTTCATGATATTATTTAATGAAAGCTTATTTTAACAACGGGCACTGATCTGCAACATGTTGTAAAGCTCTTAAACTTTTATAACCCCTTAAACCAAGGAAACTTCTAGCTGTACAGTAACACACCAACGTGGACACTTTTATTGATTGCTAATATTATTTAATACTTAATAATAAAAAGAAACGCATGTTCAGAATGTTTTTGAAAAAGACAGGTCGTTAGAGGGGTCTGAAAAGTGAGTAAATCTAGCGACAAAGGTGCTAAATTCCAGTTCTCCTGATTACATAATAGAAACTGTTCACACCGATTCATTCATCAAAGAAGAATGGCCAATGGGAAACTCCAACTCTTTGCCGGCCGACCAATGGTGTAACTTCATCACTCAGTCAGTCAGTCAGTCGCAGACATTCGCGTTTCTAAGGCTGACCTTCTGCCAACAACATGTGTGCGTGAGTGAGACCTACTCTGGATGTTCGGGCTGTATGGATCCTCAATCCTGATGGCTGGATCCAACACTCTGTAGATGACCTAGACCAGGGAACACATAACATACACAGATTACTTATTTCAACTGCGATTTGAAATGTTGGCAATTTATGGAGCATGAGTGTAAATTAGAGTCCACATATTATTGTATGTAAACTTGAGCCACATTCAGTGTGTGCACAGAAGATGTGAAAAGCTTGGGGTCTTATGACAGGTCTTTCTTGTCTTTTTGCTTAACACTGCTTCCAAATGTAGAATCTGTTAAACAGTCAAGGCTTTAAAGGAGTGATTTGATATGATGTTTTAGTCTTTATGTTGTGTGACTAAAGTTACCTGTCAATCTGGGTTAATCCTTATTATCAAACACTCACCTCTCCCTCTGTTGATGGTTCAATATCCGAATAGCGCGACTCACAGATGACATCATTAATGTTATGCAAAGGACCCTGGGAGACTCCGGGAAAAGCGGCGGCGCAGTCATGAGCAAAGTAGCGGTAGACCTGCCAGGTACGAGCAAAATCTGCCGACCGCTCGATCACCATGGCCGCTGGACGGAAAGTCTGCAGAACAAGAGCGCCTTAGACAAAAGTTCTTTCATTTCATACATTTTTTAAGCACAATAATTACAACAAAACACAGCACAACCGTAGCTGTGAGTAATTCAATCAGCTGCTTGTAGATGAAGATGAAGCTGATAAAGCAGCAAAAGCTTTTATTTTACCTTGAAGGTCATAATCAAGTGCGTGAAATGAAACTCTGCTTCCAAATCCAGCTGAATAAAGACCTCCGACTTTCCTGGAAGAGAGAGGACACAGAGTGAGTGATACACATGACACACACACACACACAAATAATATACTGTAAATATATAATTAATGTACACATTATCGATTTTGTTGTTGTTTGTTGCAGTTTGTATTTAGTATTTTTGGAAATTGCATTTTGATGCTTTGTCAGTATTGTTTTTCTCAACCTGTCATGCCTTTGAATTGAATTGGATTGAAATGAATTGAATTAAAATGAACTGAACTGAGAATGATATAGAGAGATGTCACGTTTACATGAAGCCAACCACTGTTTTTACAACTCATGACTGTCGATTAGTTTCATACTTATATTTAATTCCTAAACCACTTGAACTCATTTTCCATCTATATCATTCATTTCTGACAGAGTTTAAGGGCTATCAGCAGTAAGTGAAGTAGCAACCGTGCTTTTGGCTTGAGGAACTGCATCATGACAGGAAAACACATTCAGTCTTGGCAGGAGAAATGGAGCGAGTGAGTCGGAAAAGCCCACACACTTCCTGAGTTGTAGAGGACCAAACACTCTAAAAGGCCACTTTACTCTGAGGACCACTTTCACTCATGTTCTCTGTGTTTTGTATTACTTGTACAGTACAAAGCCAAGAGGAGTTTCCCCATTCCTGCATACTAACACATAAAAGCCACACCACATGAATTTTATATCTTACAACTTAACACTCTATAACAGTGAGAGAAACCACAACACAGCTCTTTCATACACACATGCAAAAGAAAATGCTAATGGATACAGATGCCACATGCCTACTCAGTTACATGTTTTGCAAAAACACATGTGCCTACACACATCCATGCATCCTGGGAAACCACCTTTTCAACATTTAGAACTTGCAGGTAATTAAAGTGTGAATGTGTGTGGCACACTGTGCTTTCCTGAGGCAAATAGTCATTGCAAGAAAAGTTCACGCACAACATAAAATCTTAGTGACAGGTGCGTAGGATCAAAAACTCCTGACATGAATAGAAAACCAAAAATTCAGAATCTTGCCTGCGGTGGGTCTGAGGACTGAGACACCACGTTAATGTGGTGAGTTCAACCTACCTACTTTAACTGAAGCTGCGCTCATGATGATTTCTTATATAAACAATGGCTTGAATAACTATGAGCAATATGAAGTGTGTTGCTCCTTGTAAGGAACCCACTGATTATCATTGTTGTGGTCTTCGCTCTGGCTGCCCTGACAAGGACGTTGCTGAAGTTCGTGGGCGCTCTGCTGTAAATGACATGGATGAAATAGACAGCTAGGAAGTTTGTTTGGAAAGCTTGGTCTTGCAAACTTTATTTAAAGGGCCTACACAGTTACAGCCTGCAACACAGCCATGTGCATTTGGAGGCCATACCGAGCTCATAGCTAAGGAAGCGTACCGTATGATGAAAAGGCTTAGCATTGAGTCCAAGTGTCCAAGTGCATAGAGATTTTTGTAGCTAGTTAATTTAGCTAACCAACAGGTCAATCTTCTCAACTACATCAACAAATGCATGCACTCATACACAAAAACAATCTGCCACAAGTCAAGAGTTGTCAAGGCACAGGAAGGAAAGAGAAGGAAGGGTGTGACCCAGTTAGAGGAGGGGAAAACAGAGGGAGAGCAGAAAGAGAGTGAGAGGACAATTCAAAGTGTAAATTTTGAGCCTTTCTAATGGAGCAGTTTTTGAGAAAGTCACGCAGAATTCAAATGTAAAGAAAAAGACAGACACACACACACACAATCAGTATACACAGGAAACACCTGTTCCACTGTTAAGCTGATACTCGCTTACAGTGCCTTGCAATGCCTGCATGTTTGCATGTTTGCATGTTTGCATGCGGTCACAGGAAATGGCCGTACCAATTAGTGAGTGCGCACAATCAAACCACTGTAATCCATATCAAACAGACCCACTGTGCACACTGCCACTTTCACCAGAGAAATGCCACAAAGATGCCATGGAAAAAAAGCAGCAGCAACCAGGAGTAAAAATAGTCTCTACACTTCCTGTCCCCCTTCTTCTTCTTCTTCTTCTTCCTCGTCTTCTTCTTCTGTTTCTCTCTGTTCTATTCTGGGTCTGTTCGTGATGCGCAGTGCTATCATCACTCCATTACAGTATGGGCGCTCACAAACGGCTGAAATGAGCCTTGTGTCCATCTGGCTGCTCCACACAGAGCTTTACAGTCACTCCCTCATTGTGATGGAGATTTATGTGGCACCTGAAAATACAGTCAGTCGGTTTAACTTTGTCCCTCTGTCCTCACTACTGTCTCCAACTGTCTCACTTTAAATATTCCATTAACTTTCACTTTTATCTTTCCATCAGAGCTTAAACTTCTCTCCTTCCCCTGTCATCCCCATTTCCTCCCTCTGTTGATTTGCCAGAGCAGGGACTACTCTGTTATTAAGCCCATCTGTAGCTGGTCACAGGATGTTGGCCACGGCGTGTGTGTATGTATGTGTGTGTGTGTGTTTTAAAGTTTTCTATAGCTACTAGTTGCTTACTGCTTGTGGTTTCAATAAACTTTTAGGATCTTGTTCTTTCCCCCTTTTTCCAACTAACTTATTCCTGCGTCAGGATCCACTACCTCGTCTTTTTGTGTCCTTTCATTCTCTACACTCCATCCTGCCTCTACTCCTCTCTCATATATTAATAGCTTTAACTATACATACAAGTAGAGGTCATATTAATTTTGCCATACTACCAATTTTGGCGAGCTTATTTGATAATGCTTTTAGGAGCACTTCAAGTAGCTTTAATTAAAAGGTTCAGTGCAAAATTGGTAGCCATGAAAATGAAAGCTGAGATTACACTATTTATAGCACATTTATGATGCTGTGATGAAAATTACATACAAGGATTGTCTACCTTGAATAAAGAGAAGAAATTACAGTATGTAAAGCTTTTTAATATTTCCCTGATGCTTGTGTTTGTTTTCTATATCTCATCTATCTCTCAGTCAAGTTGCACAGAACATTCAACTAAACCCATCAGTCGGCTCTTCAGGAGTAAAACAAAGCACAATTATTTAATTTACAATTACAGAATACATTTTAATTAAGTCTCTATTTCACCACAAACAATGTGATGGAGAAGTTAAAAGAAGACTAACAGTTTATACTCATGCTAGCAGCTCTATACTGATAACATCAGCATGCTAACAAGCTAAGTATAACAATGCCAACATACTCTAGCCTGAATCAAAATGATGGACCAACCAACTGACACTGGCACCTCAGAGCCATGCTGCTAACACAGCTAAAACCCAAAATGCAACACTGCTATTTGCTTCATTTGCACACAGCTGCATACCTGAACAGGTAACCCATAGTGTTTATCCTCTCACACTCACATGTACTCATGCCCGCCAAAGACCTACATATATATTTGCTCTATTCCATTGCAACAAGAAGTACAGGGTTGCACTTTCTAGTAAGGCACCCTTTGTTAATGGCTTCAAACCTTTTATCACTGGTAGATTATTAGACACCATTACGAAATGTTTGTTGTGAACTCGTGTTGTTGTGTCTTCTCACCATTCTCAGACTGCCACCAGGACTTCTTGCGGTGAGGTTTGAAGGCGGTGATGACGTTCTCTATCCGGTGATTGATGGTGTTGTAGACGGGGTCGTATGGCCGTCTGGAGTCACAGTCGAAACACTTCTTCTCATCCTTCAGCAGGACAGGAAAGGGTCAGTGCAACGAGGTCAGAGGAGAGAGGTGAGGGGTCAATGAGAAACACAGAAGCACAGACAGGAAGGAGAGAAAGGGCACGGAGAGGCAGACACGTGCACTGACCTGAAGATGACTGACAATGCAGTAAGGCTCTTTCCTCCTCATCCCACATGTGGATGAGGCCTTCAGGTTTTTCTCTCGTCCAACCAGCAGGTCCCCCGTTGCCGGGTAACAGCTGCCATGAGCGCAGCCGTGGCTGTGGTCCGGCTCCTGGCCAACGGCGGCAGCCAGGGCTGTGGGGACAGAAAATGAATTACAGTCAACAGGGAAAAAAAACGTGCAGAGTGATAAAACACTAATATACTACAGCACACATTTATAAGTTTGTATTGGCACACAAAATATTTCTTTTCTTTCTATCTTAAAAAAAGAGGCAACATCAAAAGCTCTTATCACTTCCTGAGGAAGAACGACTGCAGGATAAGAAGTACTATAGGAAACTCAAGAACTAAATTTGAGTTTGTCATAGACACAAAGAGGTGAATAAAGAAGCAAATGCAGACAGTCTGTAACGGCAACACTTTATATTTATTGCTTTACACTCTACAGTCTAGATTATATCTGTTCTTAATTTATATTTATAAATGATTTAGTTTAATTGAAATTCGCTTCATGGTCTTTAAACATTTGAATGGGATTTGTGACACTTTTCTTTTTGGAAATGAGACATCACTGTCGGTGGGTTACAGGTTCAACAGAGCACCCTTGACACACACTTTTGACTTCACCCAACCACGCCCCCTCACTGGTGCTGGGTGTGGTCGGAGGTGAAACAGGTTGGAAACTTTCAGCCAGAGAGGGCAGCAAAACACGGCTTTTCAACCTGGTGTTCGGTCGCTCGTTAAAGACAAATCAAACTCTGCAGAGGTAATCACATCTGCTCACTACAAGAAAAGTGTATTTGACAAAGGACTGAAGGCTTCATGAGGCTTGTTTTGACACAACATAGGAAAGGGATTTAGGTCACTGATTTACAGATGCAGACTGGGATCATAGTTTTATTATTAGATAGTAGAAGTATTTAGATTTAAAAATGAGACTCTTTCAGTTTAAGAAACTCAATTGTTTCTATTGAATCGACATGTTTAGACTTAAGCTCAGGGATAACGCAGATTGTCAAGAATCTGAAGGGATGTTTATGCATGTTTTGGTCATGCCCTTTAAGTAAAGGTATTTATGATTTTTCATGTTATACTTGATGATGATTTCAACCCTAGACTGTATATATTTTTTTTATTGTAGAGCCTCAGGTATGATCCAGACTAACATGATGGTGGAGAGGCAGGTTTGGTTAAAGACTACAGGGGAACCAGCTGCTTTTGCAACATGATGTTTGTCCTTATTTTTTGTCATTTAAAAAAAACAGAAATCTATGCCATTTTATTTCAACCTGCTTGAAATTAGAAGTAATATAAGGCACTGAAGCCAAAAATAGCCATGTTTGTATGTTATCATTCTTTGTGGTCATCAATAGGCACATTTTGGTCAGTTTGTTTGTCAGGGTTTATATCTGTTTGGAAAAAAAACATTTTGCATAGACGCCTCATAAAGGTCATGGGCCACAGAGTACGAAGGGCTTATTGAGCTGGACACCGGCCCCCTGCATCTACACGGCTCATGCCTGATCAAGAGCCGATTCAATGTTGAGACAACATCCAGTGGGAGGGGGATTATCTCAAGGGAGCGCTGCGGGTTAACAGGCTCCGCTGTCTGCAGGGGTCCCAAAGAACTGACCTGACAAGGGGCCCCAGTGACAGGCTAAATCTGGAAACTAACCACTGCAGGTCACACCAAGGTCAACTCAAACCAGCAGCGGTTAGAAGTACAAGGTCTCAAAAATTAATGAATGATTATTTACTCAAAGCTAAAACTCCCAAATGACTTGGCATAAAATAAAGGCTTGAGCAGATAAAGTGTCTGTCTAGGATCCAGCACTAGAGCCCTGGTGTGACTGGGTAGCTGTGCTATGTGTGGGAGTTAAAATAAACCTTATAAACTCTCATGACAACCTGCAGCAGCCATACTTCATTCCACTGGACATCCTGATGAGAGTTTCTCCTCCTACACACCTCCGGGACCTGTAGTCTGTGTGTGTGTGTGTGTGTGTGTGTGTGTGTGTGTGTGTGTGTGTGTGTGTGTGTGTGTGTGTTGCTATGAGGAAATCTTGGTATGAGGAAAGTGGAGACCCAGGGGTCCTGCTGTCAGTCTATGGTCTGTCCACAACAGGTGTTTCTAATCCTCCCTCCACACTACATGAACACATTCTACATACGTGTAACACTCCTACACTGTGACTCAAATCAACAGGGTTTATATTCACATTCCCCAAAAGCTAAAAAAAAAAAAAAAAGGTGAAGGCTTCATTTTATCCTGCATCAGTCGGTTTTCTATCATCACAGTGTTAAACATTCACACCTGAGAGCTATGTAGAAACAAAACACAGCTTGAGCTGAGCAGCTGGGAGCTTGGTGCTTTGCACCTGTACCTGAAATTCTGTTTCTAAATTAGCCTGTACCATAGGCTACTTTACTAGCTTGTAACTAGCATCTTGGTAGCAAGCTAACTTCTGCCAGACAAGCATTGATTAACTATGCTAGTTGGCTAATGAATATAGGGGCACAGTGAAGTTTTTTAATGAGCTGCATTAATGATTACAATGCTTTAGCTGTGTATCTGTAAAGCAGCAGATTAGCCAATTAGCTTAGTTAGCCAGTGTAGCATCACGCAGAAGTTAGCTACAGTAGCTAATGCAGATGGAACTTGAGTGAGGAAGGTATATGCACCAATTACAGTACGTGGATAATAGCATGCGCACAAATATATTTGTTGAACACAAATTATATTGTTGTTTGCAAAATCTTTGTGTGATTATTTATAATTTCTGCCTGCAAAACATTTACTTTGCCATACACATGTTCTAAGACATTTCAGAATCAGCAACCTTTCAGGACTCTTTGGGGAAATGTTACCAACGTGTGTTTGACAGTCTGTCATATGATTTTAATCACTTTTTTGTCCATTAACATACTGTCCGATTTTACGTCTTTATTAATACTTGCATCTGAAAAGCCTCTTTAAATATCAGAGTTCAGCCTCTTGAATAAAGCAAGCCTGTTCCTGAGTCACAAAGACGCAGCATATAACGCAAAACAGGCACTCGTCTCTCACATGTAGACTTAATAATAAAATAATAATATAAATAGATTGTTACTGAGCAAATCTTAACGTTGCGATCCCACCATGATGTCAGCCTTGTGTATAATTAGGCGCCTCTGCTGCCTACACACTGTGCACTAGTGAGACTTCATAACTTTTTACTGCTGACAGGCGCGAGGAGAGGCGGGCTGCTGTACCTGCCGGCTCCTGGATGCTTTCTGGAGGTCTACACTCTGTGATGAGGGTAGACAGAGACATCGCATTATCATCGCCTGACACTGCTATGAGGTCATGATAGGAAGCCTGCTGGGAACAGTGCGGCGAGGGAGTTCACATTGACACTCACACACACACATATATATACCCAATCTTGACACACACTCTAGAGGCTTGGCATCTGGACAGATGTCAGGTTGGTGCCAGCAACAAACAGATATGAAGTTGTGGATCACAAACACATGGCTGCAGTACGGAGGCGCCTAAGTGCACCTGTGCATGCATGCAAATACAACTACCCCCCCTTTCTGCATTTAGATACACTCATTCATAACTGACACTCAAACCTGACACGCTCCATTTTTAAAGTGAATGTAAGCATCAAGTATGTGCTGGTTGGCTCCAAAAAAGACACACACAAGATTTGCTCAAGTGCGAGGTAACAATCTGAGCTGCCTAACATTTATAATTACAAGCAGAGGCAACAGCTGACATAATGACCTGTGATAAATTAGGCCTGAGGTTGTTTTCCTTATCCTTTATCTAACAGTGCAAGAGAGAGAGAGAGAGAGAGAGAGAGGAAGAGAGCGTGAAAACACACAAACAGAGCAGGTCAGATAGCTGATACAGTACAGAGTCTTTGTACGGACAGTGGGAAAAACCATGCAGACAAAACTTGATATCTATTCTGGAAACTACTGGCACACACTCAAAGGTCTGTGTGTGTGTGTGTGTGTGTGTGTGTGTGTGTGTGTGTGTGTGTGTGTGTGTGTGTGTGTGTGTGTGTGTGTGTGTGAGAGAGGGTGGAGAAGCTACGCAGACGTCTGATGTGTCGTTTAATCATTGGGTTTCTTGTTGTCTTTTATCTCCGTGTGTTTCTGTCTGTGTTTGTCTGTGAAAAACCACACAGGCTTCACACCTCCACTCACAACACAGGTTGAGCTGACACAACTGCAGTGTCATGAAAACAGTAGTGAATTACATTCATTATAGTGAAGATTTTAAATCACTTCATCTTAAGTTTTCACACATTCATGAAGCATGGACTTTAACCTTTAGAAATACTGTTCTTTCTCCATATCTATGCTTACTATGGTGTATCCTACAATCTAAAACATCATCAGCCTAAATGTGAAATGATTAATAATATAACAAGTGTAGGTGATGATGAATTTCTTGTTATTATGACGCTGAAGCTGTAACAAACAGGCCTGACAGGGTGACGTCATGGGTTGTAGAGCTGACAGTGATCAGACCACTGCTGCCTTGATGTAAACCAGGGAAGGAGGCAGGAAGGTATGAAGGAGAGATAAATGGAAGGTGGTATCTATCACTAGGGAGACACTTGTATTCAGAGCACTTTATCATAGTGTGAGAGGATATACAGGTTCAGAGAAGAGGCTCTAACTGCAGTAGACAGACAATACGAGAAGAGAGTGAAGAAAATAGAGATGATGGTGTCGAGAAGAACCAGCATGTAGAAAGTTCGTTAAGACGCCGGTGAAAATAGGAGGTAGAGCAGAGGTCTAATAATTAGAGGTTCCTCGTCGATCCCCGAGCAAGACACAGTACTGCTAACTGCTGCGCCATCAGTGTGTGAATGAGACTTACATTGTAAAAAGCGCTATATGAGTCCATTTACATCATCAATTTTCAATATCTGTCAAAGTAATCACAATATGACTAAAAGCAGAATTCTTTCTTTTCCAAGGCCTGTGGTGTTTTTCCAGATGCCCTGACTCAGTGTGAGCGGGCAGGCAGCTGATCAGCTGAGTGGACGTTTTTTTTGGAAAGGTTTATGTTACTTTCCCTCCATCTAACTGAAATTTTTATAATGTGGCTTTAAGTACAAACTGTGATC